TGGGTGAGTAATGGGTGTTTAAAAGGCACTTCAAGGAGCAGGGAAAGATTTTTGGCAGTAGGTATAGAACTGAGATTTCATTAAAAGATTCTATTTTAATGGGATTTCATTTTACATTTAAATTACCATTTGCTTTACCATGTACAAAGAGATATTCTTTGTCTTCAAGGAAGTATGAATCCAAATGAAAAGGTGGGGGAAATAATGAGAGAACTAAAAGGTAATTAAGAAAAATTATTCTTGTTGGGGGAGGGGTAGCTGGTGGCTCAGTGGTTTAAGGGTCCAACTTTGGCTCAGGTCATGATCTCAATGTTTGGTAGTTTGAGCCCCATTATCAGGCTCTGTGCTGACAGCTCAGAGCCTGGAGCCTGCTTGGGATTCTGTGTCTCCCTCTCTTTCTCTGTCCCTCCCCAACTTGTGCTCTCTCAAGAATGAATAAATATTAAAAAAAAAGTTAAACAACAACAACAACAAACCATTCTAGTTACAGCTAGCATTTGAATGGACAAAATTAATCCACGGGACTACCTAAGAACAACTAAAAACTAAAACATAAAAAAATAACCTCACCTACTTAAAAGATAAGCAGTTTGTTTTAATTATTAAAAATAGTCAATCATGGAGGTGTAACAGTGGCTTGTGGTTCATGAGTTCGAGCCCTGTGTTGGGAGCTGAGAGCAGAGCCCGGAGCCTGTTTCAGATCTGTCTCCCTCTCTCTTTGCCCCTCCCCAGCCTGTGTGCTTGCACACTCTCTCTCTCAGAAATAATAAATAAATAAACTAAAAAAATTCAATCATGAAATTAAAGGTATCTTCATTCCTTAGGTGACAGTCATCAAATATTTTAGCTTACAATAACTATTAGCCAACAAATTAAACCAATTTTAAACACTGCTCTAAATTATTACAGTGGTTATAAGTAAGTGAAATGAGATCAATGAGGAACAAGTATGTTACACAATAGAAAAGGAGTTTTTCAACCAGCTTCACTTGTTTGACAATGTTCAAAACTATTACCAGTCAGGTCCTATTCTTAGAACCAGGGATATGGAAGTACCCACATAGAAGCCTGCCTCTATGAGGCTTATAATCTACTACAGAAGTCTCTTGCTACACTGGATGGATGGATGGATGGATGGATGGATGGATGGATGGATGGACAGACAGACGGACAAACAGACAGATGGGACAGATGAACAGATGTCACGCAGTGGTAAGTTCCGTAAAGAAAAATAATACAGGATAAGGAAAAGAACTTTAGATCTCAGAAGTACTGGAAGGGCATGAGAGATGACTAAAGAATTAGTAAAGAATGAGCACTGGGAGATGTCCGATACTGTTGAATCACTACACTGTACACCTGAAACTAATGTAACACTATGTGGTAACTGACTGAAATTAAAATGAAAACTTAAAGAATAAATTTAAAAATATCTTCTTTATGACGATAAAGGCCTTCTGGCAAAGATAAGTAGCAGCAGAAAACTGGATACTTACTGAGAACTGTAAAGGGGCATGGGAATTGAAGAACCTGAATATTCTGTATACTCACTATTATTCTTACTAATATGGAGACCTTGTGAGGTAGTTGTTAAGACAGAAGGAAAGCTAAGGGGATGCTTCATATGTTCAGCTATATTTAGATTCAATTCCTTAGATTTTAAAATATGGAGATAAGATGCTAAAAATACTGCCTGTAGAAGATTATTGGAGTATCTATAAAATAGATTAAATTAGAAAGGCAAGACACACAGGGAAACTCTTGTAAAATAAGCTTGAGATTAAGGGTTCCTGCAGAACACAAAGAGGGTGTATCTAGTGACAGCAGAGGAACCATTAGTGGGGCTTTGTGATGAGCCACCTGGAGAACAAAGGGGAAAAAGGAATTAAAAGTAACATTAAAAGAGTTAATATTCTGATGTTGAATTGATTCAAACTGATGGGAGCTTTTTTGAGCCACTTCATTGCCACTTGATTTTCTTTTTTCCTAATTATCCATTTGCTTCCTTTATGTACTTTCTTCAATCTATAATATTTAAAGTTAAGTACTCACATCAAATTTGATTTCTTAACTGGAAGAAATCAATTATTATCAGCAATAATAGAACACTATTGCTCTAATGTTCTCATTCTTTTCTGACATAATGTGATTAAGAAAAAGTAGTTCTGCCACTGTCTCTTTTCATGTACTTTTTTGGTATTTCAGTGAGTTATGTGGATTTTAGAAGGCAACAGTATATAAAACCTGTATTAAGAGCAGATGCTAAGAAGCCAGCTTTTTTTATAAAGTAGATTTTTTACTATGCTCTTTTTAACCATTATTTTTTTAAAAAACCAAAATTCATAAAAGATGCTTCAGTAAGGTTGAAAGCATTCCCTACAACTATAGATGCTCTTGACTTCTACAGTAGTTATATTCTGAAATGTGTAAGCATACTTTATAATCCAGCAGGAAACTCAAAAGATTGGCAGAGTGTTCCAGTGTTACTATAGTAGCCATATGGGCTCAGTCCCATTAGTAAAGAGGCAGGGTGGTACAAATCAACACTGGACCAGAAATCAGGGATTCCTGGGGATAAGTTGCATTTCACCATTAATTTGGCTGAAGAACCTTTCCAAGTCTCAGCTTTCTCTATCAGTAAAATAGAAATGGTAGGCCCATCCACCTTGGGGTGACACAATAAATGCTTAGAAACCGTCAGGCCGTATCCAAGCTTAAGGTTATAAATGTATTCTGTTTCCAAGACAGGAGCCTGCAAGACAAGACTCAGACTGGAGATACAGCGTTTAGCCACACATCAGGCAAAAAGTTACTTACTGTAGTCAGTAGTTCCTGGTAAATGTATAGCTCTGGACTATAGCATTTTCTCTTAAATACATTTAAGGTGCTCATCACTTAGTCCACACAGCAAAAAAATAAGATTAATTTTTAAAAATAAATGATACTGGGGCACCTGGGTGGCTCAGTTGGTTAAACATGTGACTATGGCTCAGGTCACTATCTCACAGTTCCTGAGTTCAAGCCCCTCATTGGGCTCTGCGCTGACAGGTTGGAGCCTAGAGCCTGCTTCAGATTTTGTGTCTCCCTCCCTCCCTCTCTCTCTCTTTCTGTTTCTCTTGCTTATGTGCTCTCTCTCTCAAAAGTAAATAAACATCAAAAATTTTTTAATTAAATAAAATAAATGATACCTATCTGAAGTTAAAAGTATAGATAACAAAGAAAAAACTGAAAAAGAAAAAAGAAAAACAAAGAAAAAAACTAAATCACATGAGGAAGACAAATCTCAAGAAAATATCTACACCAATAGTTAAGAAAGTCATCAACATTTAAAAAAAATTTTTTTTAATGTTTTATTTATTTCTAGGAGAGAGAGAGAGAGAGACAGCGTGAGCAGGGGAGGGTCAGAGAGAGAGGGAGTCACAGACTCTGAAACAGGCTCCAGGCTCTGAGCTGGCAGTCAGCACAGAGCTCGAAGCGGGGCTCGAACCCACAAACTGCGAGATCATGACCTAAGCAAAAGTCGGACGCTTAACCGACTAAGCCACCCAGGCACCCCCATCAACATTTTAAAAGATTATCAAAATCTAATATATTTTTTTTAGCAAGTTTAGACCTACTACTGGTAAAAGACAGAAGAGAAAGAAAAGTATACATAGCCATAATCCATTTTATAGAAACAAACACATATGAAATAAATGACTTATAAAAAAGTTATGGCTGCATGAACTACCCTTACTTTCAGCAATCTTCATTGTAAATACTCTGGTCAAGGAACAGGAAGAAAAGACCACTTTAACATGGAAAAAAGAGGCATCCAGGTAAATATACGAATTGCCTTTACCTTTTAATCAGAATGAAATTCACTACCCAGTCCAAGTTACTGGTACTCCCTAAGATGCTAATTTATGAAATGAATTAAATTCTTCAAAAGGGCTGAAAAACAAAAGGATCGATCCCCTGTGCTTCTGGAATCTATGAAACACATAGAGACTAGATTCAAAGCTAGATCAATGCAAACTAATGTTGGCAGTGTAACTCTAGATGCATTGACAAGCACATGCATTCAAGTGGAAAAGAAATAACAAGTCCATCACCAAATGTTCACGCAAATGCTTTTAAATGAGTATTAAACACATAAAAGTAACCAATCAGTTGGTGTCTGAAGCAGTGTAAGAAAAGAAGTACTTTAACAATTGCATGTGATTACTTCTAATTGTTAAACATCAGGAGCAGAGCCAGATAGAAAAATTCTATCACTTCACGAGTGTCCCCTAGTATACCACAGAGAAGTGACTAACAAATTTTATATCTCTAACCATAAAGAGGAAAAGCTTTAAAAAAAAAAAAAATCCAGATTCTCCTAATGCTAACAAAAACGGGATGAAAAAGTATGGATATTTGGGGTGAAATTTCAAGACTGGGAGAGGGTCTCAGAAACATCTGAAAAGTCTCTCCTTCAAAGAAATTAGGTCAGCATGGTATTTCAAATTGTTTTTGTTTTTTTGCCTCCACCCCCTCTCCTGCCCCCAGTTTGTTTTTAAATACAATCCTCAATGGCAGGAAGTTATCTAATAAAAAAATAACATTCACAACTTTCTGTACTTGTCCTGTTGTACAAATATCTCAAGGGCAACATCTTTCAGATAGCACCATTCAAACCAAGGCACTAGAGCTCGGAGTTCAAGGTTTTTAGAGTTCACAAAGGAGAGCAAGACCAGTATGAACAGAAAGTAGGTTCCTTAATCTCAGAAAACCATCTTCTTGACTGACCAACTACAAGTTATCAAGAATTTTTCATCCTTAATGTTCGTAATTTGCTTGTCCTTTCCTTCCAGATATAGTCTTAAAAGCTCTTAGATGATAAAGCAAACAAGACAACATCTACCATCAAGGGGGTAAAACACTGATAACTTGTTTCTCAAGTTGTATAAGAGGAATTCTTAGTATCATATTCTTTCCACATCAAGCACATTAAGCAGTTACATATGGCACATTAATACCTGTGCTCCTGATACAGGACCAAAGGGGTTTGGTGGTCTCATGACAGGCTGGCTGTATATTAAGGTTGGTTGTGTCATTACAGGTACACTTCCCATTTGAGGAGGCTAAAAAAAAGGAAAAATATTAAGTTAAATGATGTTGACTGACATCTCCCTTAAGTAGTAAACAAAAAAGAGGTCAGTAATGAAAGTACTTTGCTTTAACTCAAGGAAAAATTCTTGTAAATACAAATAAGGCCAACAGCTACAAATTCTTAAGAGTTTTTTTTTTTTAAGTCTTTAATGTGCTCACTTCTAAAGCTTGTTTTAAAAAAAAAGCTCAAATTTAAGAAAAACGTAAACCTAACTACAGTATGGCAGACAAAGCAATTCAAACCAATCCGAAATTTCCAAATTTGTCAGTTTTAGACATAGAAAAACTTAAAACTGTAAAATAGTGAAGCTATTTCAAAGTAAACTGCCTTTGTATATTAAATCAGGTTCTTATGCCATTATGCAAGCTATCACAAGTGAATACAGTTGTTTCTTTGAAGAGGTTTATGTTTTATGGTTCTTTCACTTTATTTCTGCTACTCTTAGGAAGAACCAAGAAGAGGTTTAAATAACACATGAAGAGCTTAGTTCATTCTTGAAAAACTGAAAATAAAATCTTAACCATCTCTTTCTTTAAAAATTACTACTCCATGGTATAAAATTAGCATAAATAAGTGACCAAATAGAGCATACACAGACCACTACATTATTCTGGTTAAAATACCATACTCTGAAATCTTATCTTTCCATAAGCTCTATTTAACCTTTCAACTAAACTCCTATTTATAGCAAGAGCTTCACTTTAGCCTTTGAGATTTTGTGTATATTCCTTTCTTATATAGTAACCACCCATCCAAAAGCTGTGAAACTTCTTTGTATGTGGGAAAACAAGCTACATCCAGAAAGTGTAAATAAAGAAGTAGCACAGCAGCCCAGTAACAATACTAAGGGATAGGGTGCTGCCTCCTATCAGCAACAGTACCTCAAACACATATGGGAGTGGGGTGGGAGGGAGGTTTCTTATCTAAGTGAATGTATATATTAAGAAAGCTAGGAGAGTAAAGCCAGTGTAGAATGTGGATTGTGGGCAGCTTAAAGGTTTAAAGGACTATTTCTGTATGGTAGCTATCACTGTCAAAGGAAAGGTTCTCTGGTCTTTACTGGACTGAATTTGCCTTGACACAATTCAACAAATGTAATTCCTCCCCTTTCTCTACAGTATTAAGGTTGTTATAAGACTTCAATGGTATTAATGTAAGGTCACAGAAACAAAGGGTTGGAGTGAACATTAATGTTTAAATGAGTCTGTAATGAAGTAGAAAATGATTAGCAAAGTTATGAGGGGAAAAATAAGCTAAGTAATAGTGGGAAAATTCAGAAATAATATGGGCTGTATGACTCTTCTAAAAATATTTATGAAACCAACACTATAAGATTCCGTGTTAGGCGCTAAGAGTATGTGTGGCACTAAATTCTTTTTTCAGTTAAGTTTGGATAAAGGTATATTAAATGTGAATCAATCTATTTTCAAAATGTGTCTGGAAAGATACTTACGATTCCATATCCTATCATGCCTGTTGGTGTAGTAGCAGGATAGGCCATTACAGGGGGTGCCTGACATGGTGGAGAAAAAATAAACAAGGATGTACATAACTCATGTATGTCAACTCAGTGCAAGGAATTAATAGCTGTAGTTCCACTAAAAAGAATTGCTAAGACAGCTGTGATTAAATGTGACACATGTGATCATTAATAATTGTGTCAATTAATGCTCAATGAAAAAGTGTCTCGAAATTAGCAGGAAAGCAAAATTATTAGAAAGAAAAAACTACCATTTAAACTTAGATACAACAGTGATCTAAAATTTCAATTTGCTTCTTACAGCTTTAAAATCTTCAGATTTAAAAAATTTTTCAAAATTCTAAAAGTTAACATCTATCACTATCAATAGCATAAAAAATGTTTACCTAGAAAAAGTTATATTACTGAATGTTTTCCTAGGCACTTTATTTTCTGAACAAGAAAAAGCAATTTGTAAAGATCCCCAATTAATAATCTGAGCTTCCAAAAAATTAGTTTCTAAGGACCTCATTCAGTCTTTTCAAATAACCCCAAAGATTTCAAAACACTACTAAATAGGACTATTTCTAGTGACGCACACAGTTCTTATACAGAGTACGTACATTAGCATTTCTTCTAATTTACTCTATAAATTATTTAAACTATCTTCTGCAAAGCACCAATTTGGAGGAGTAATAAATTTTTAAGTCTGTTTATGCTTTAATGCTTAAAAGAGCCACCTAGCCCTAGGATGTTTAAGTTCCCTTCCTCCTTCTATTTTAACTCATGCTCTGTAAATATACAATCTGAGCACAGAATCATTTTAGATATATTTGCTGTCTTAACAACATTCCCTGTATGTGTTATCTTATAATGAAAACTGAAATTGAATACAGGAGAAAGACCAATAACACTGCTGAAACAAAAAAATAACTGAAATTATACGGCAATTTGAACATATGCACACAGAAGTTAAATGAAGCATAACTAAAGTGAAGAGTTAAAAGTTTAGTATTTGAGTGAGCATGTAGGACTTATTGGTCTCTCCCTACTTAAAAACCGAGAGCTGCAAGAGCAGTAGACAAACTGCCAAGTACAGCAGAAGCCTGTAAGATTTCATGCAATTGTTATTTTCAACATTACCACAATCAACATTTCCCTTCATTCAGAAATCATCAAGTGCATAGTGGCAGCACAGATACACACACAGACACCCAGCCATCTGGCAGCAAATGGCAGAATATTAAGCAAGAAAAAAAAATCTGTATTTCCCATGCCACCATCAGAATCAATTCTGCAACACATCCATGAAATCAGTAGATGCTGGAAAGAATCTTTGGCACATTGAAAATCTGAATGTGAAAACAAGTAATAGCTGGAAGGTTATGAGATTCTGCTATAGCAGTGGTTAATAGCATGCCAATTTATTGCAAAAAGGCTAGTTTTTGGTCACTTACGTATTGTGGAAAATGCATGCCATTCTGTTTTTCCCAGGAAGAACAATTACATAATGCAATAACACTGGATTAGAACAAGTACTTACACAACAGAAAATACACAGAACATTTTAGTTCACATGTACATTCACTAACTACCTAAAATCCCTTGTATTTCTGAAATCTAATGGAAGAGCACCTATACTAAAACACTATCAAGGTTACTAGGGAAATTTAGTCTCCAGCATAACCCCCTTACATACCTAACAGTTTATTACAAGCATCATGAAACATAAATGCAAAATTCAGTGCATCCCATAAACAGGGTTGCATCATGTCTAAAATAGAAAAAAGCAAGCAGTAATTAAAAGTAATCAAAACTGTATCTATAACAAAATACCAATGATTTTTTTAGATTAAAAAATGTTCAAAAACCTTGACAGTGTTTATGGATTATTAAAAAGGTTAGAAATGTAAAGAAATGTCATAAGCAGCAGTTTATCTAAGTAGTGAATCACATCACCAACTCTGTATGTTAGTCATTAAAAGAAAACTCTATGAAATACATACATACAAATTTTAACAAAATTCTTGAGATGACACACACACTGACACAGTACCATAAGTATCATCAACTTACATACAAATTCCAAATGGTTAAATGCCTACTCCATTCTAGTAGTCAATCTTCAGTCAAGTGCTATCTACAAACTTCTATGACAAGTGTTATCTACAAACTTCTAATATTTCATAGAGTCTAACACTAATTTCATAATAAAATATTCACTCTAGTTTCATATCAGCATTTGGATTTATATCAAACCTCATGTATTATTAATGTGTAATTCACATCTGAGACTACAAAATCCACTAAACTAACCTCTTGTCATCCCCTGGTCAGTGAGGCATGTAATGATGTGGAAAAACACTGGATTCAGAGTCAGAAGGAATGGATTTCAACTAAAATCTGCTTTCTAAATGCTTTGTACTTTAAAAAAATTGTGTAACTTTATTCTTATAATTGGGATGGTATCAATTCAAACTTTCGCAAGAATGTACTATTAACAAATTCAAGATAGTGAGTGTATATGTATATGTAAAAACCTACCAAGTATTAGCAATAATGGCAGTGAACCCTATCAATGAAAAATTGTCTTAAAAAGGTAGCTAAATTTCACTGTTATTTTCAAATTAAGAATGCTAAAGCTAACAAAACTTTTTGGATAATGGCACAAATTTTATCAGCACACTATTTTTAGCTCAACCCTAGTAATTTTAACATATGATTAATCCCAGGAAAATAGGGCAGTTCTCTAGAAGGGATTTAATAACAAGTGGCTATAACAGGGGTAATGGTGATCTCTAATAACTACAGGATGGCTACAATGTGTAAGCAAAATGCTTCCATTCACAGTTATAAGAAAGCATGTTTTAAATTTTTCTATGAGAAAAAATTGGTTTTCTCTGATGAAGGAAAACTTATCACACTGATGAAAAGTGCAGCTGACCAAGGACAGGAGAACAGCCACAAAGCTACTCTGGGACAACCATACTTTATAGTGATTAAAAATATTCAGGGTGCCTATGTGCTTCAGTTGTTAATCATCTGTCTTCAGCTCACGTCATGATCTTGCAGTTTGTGAGCTCAAGCCCCACCTTGAGTGAACTCAAGCCCCACTTGGGGTTAAAAAAACAAACAAACAAAAAAAAACCCACAAAAGAAACCACAAGCCCCTGCTTCAGGTAAGTCTGACTCCCCTTTCTCTCATTTCCTCTCTCTCTCCTTGCCCCTTGCTCACATGCACCCTTCTCTCCTTCTCTCTCAAAAAAATTAGTAGAACTTCTTTAGTACTAGATGCTAACTAGTTACTTAGCATATACAATTAATCCTCATTTTTCATGGATTCTGTATTTACAAATTTGCCTACTTGCTAAAATTTATTTGTGATCCCCAAATCAATGCCTGTGGTGCTTTTGAGGTCATTCACAGACATGTACAGAGTAGCGAAAAATCTGTTGCCCAATGCCCTCGTTATCAGCTAAGGGTGACCAAAGTGAGGTTCTGCGTCAGAGGGGCCAAGAGGGTGGGGAAGAGGGCAGGACACTGCAAGAAGCTCTGCCTCTGGCTACGGCTAGAGTCCCAAATCTGGCACCTGTCAGTGCAGCAGCCTCAGGTAAGTCACTTAACACTTACCAACTAGATTTTCTTTTTTATAAAATAAATTAAAAAAAAAAAAGCATCTACTAGAATAAGTTTGATTAGAATTTAAGATCATAATGTATGTGAGGTGTGCGTGTGTTGATTCTTCTTATTGGCTGTACTTAAGTTGTTAAAGTAACCCAACACTAAATCAGTGATTGCTGAACCATTACTAGAGGAAATGGTATGTATGTATATGAACCTAGCAATGGTCAGTGTCCAGGAGATTTTAAGAATATAATTACAGCAAATAAGGAAAATCAACTGTATGAACTATTTGACAATATTAACAAAGACCAAGCAATGTAAAGTTTCTTTACCAATGGTGAGATTAGTAAAATACTAAAAGATTTTATACTCTAGATAAGTAATGATATTTGAGACCAGCAACAGAGGGTAATGATTAAGAGTATTAATCATTAACCGGGGCGCCTGGTTGACTCAGTCGGTTAAGCATCCGACTTCAGCTCAGGTCATGATCTCATGGTTCATGGGTTCCAGCCCTGCGTCGGGCTCTGTGCTGACAGCTAGTTCAGAGCCTGGAGCCTGTTTCAGATTCTGTATCTCCCTCTCTCTCTGACCCTCTCCTGTTCATGCTATCTCTGTCTCTCAGAAATAAATTTTTTAAAAACATTAAAAAAGATTTTTAAAAACATCATTAATTGCTCTGAGGTTAGGCAGCCTGGGTTCTAAAAATCTACCCAATCACTTAAGAACTCTGGGAGCCTAGGCATATTATGTAGTAACTCCATGTCTCCATTTCCTCATCTGAACCTTAGGACACTATAAGTTACTACCATGGAAGGTTAATTTGGGGATTATATAAAATAAAGCCACATATTATTTATTGAATGATTCCTGCACAAAGGAATCTTTAAATAAATGTTAGCTACTAAAATGTACCTGGCAAATATAGTCAAACAGATTCCTTAAAAAAAAAAACAAAAAACAAAAAACACAAGTTTCTTATACTTCTAAAACTGAATAAACAATTTTTCCACTTACAGCTATCATTTTAAAAACATTTTCATGTCACACATTCATCTAAGTTATTCGTGTTACTGTGAGCTTTTTCAACTCACCATAGTTGCAGCATTCCAAGCGGTTGTTGGTGCAACCTTTGGTTGCCAGTTAGATCCTCCCGTTAGCTTCTTTTCGCCTGGCTGACTCCAATTTACATCACTTTAAATAAACATAAGTAAAGACACTAAATGTCTATAATTATAAACGTTCTTTACTACACATTTAGATTGAACAAAAAGATGTAGATTTGACATCTCCACACATACTTTTGAGATGAAAGCCAAATTAACTTATACATGATACATGAGGCATTAATACAAATAAACTCACTTCTTAGTGGTTCCGTTTCCAATGCCAAGATCTATGACAGGAGAAAAAGAAAGTATTTAAAAACCAGACTCATTTTTAATATAGCTGATTTTAAAGAAGATTAAAAGAATCCGAAGAATACTTACTGCCCACAAGGTTCGCTAAGGATGAATCCAAGTCATCAGATACTAACTTATTAGGTGGGAGTTTGGCAACAGGAAGACTCTGGTTCTGAGAGGCCACTGTTGGTTTGAGAAGTCCACCTAGTTCATCAAAGCCTTAAAGTTACAAACAGATGAAATAGGATATGTAAGGGACTTTTTGGTGCTACAGCTTTCTAAAGGAGTTCTCTGCCTTTTCTACTTGTCTGTTTGCTGGAAAAGTCCTCCAGAAAATGGGGCATTAATAAATGCCCTTAAATGGACAAGGGAGAAACTCATCAATCCAAAGTGAACCAAATGAAAAGGCATGTCTTACTTCATGCCAAATTATATTAAGGTTAACAGAGATGAAGAAAGGGGCTCCTGGGTGGCTCAGTCAGCTGAGTGTCCAAATTCAGCTTAGGTCATAATCTCACAGTTCGTGGATTTGAGGCCTGCTTCAGGCTCTGTGCTGATAGCTCAGCACCTGGAGCGTGCTTCGGGTTCTATGTCTCCCTCTGCTCTCGGGTTCTATGTCTCTCCTCTCTCTGCTCCCCCTCTGCCCGTACTCTCTCTTTACCTCTCTCTCTCTCAAAAATAAATAATAAACATTTAAAAAGGGGGGGGGGGTGAAGAAAGAAGCATTCAGGTAAAAAACTTTTATTTCAAAGTTGTGAAACAGAAAGGAATAGAATGTAATTCTCTCCCTCACTGGCAAAATTTTCTGAAGACTCACTTATATCTGAAGAAATATAGATAAGAAATACATCTCTATAACTGTGAAAAGTCTTTCTTCTAAGAAATGTCTTCTAGACTTCTTTACATTCTTCAACGTGGAGAATGTAAGGTATCTGTAAACTAGTATGTTAGAAGCAAGTGAAAATGAACCCCTTGATCACTTTTCTTCTATCTAAAAAACAGCTGACATAAATTATACCTAAGAAACCGCTAATCTTATGCCCCAATTCATGAAACCATCTAGTAAACTAGGATATTGCTTAGAAATAAAAATAAAATAAAATAAAATCCCTTAAGGTTCTCTACCAAAGCAAGAAGAGAATGTAAAGCAAAACCAATCAAACAAACCCACCAAAGAATTCAAACAGCATGATCTAGGGGGTGCCTGGGTAGCACCCTGCCTGTTAAGCATCAGACTTGATTTTGGCTCAGGTCATGAAATCCTAACTCGTGAGTTTGAGCCCTGCAGTGGGATTCTCTGTCTATTAGCACAGAGCCTGCTTGAGATTCTCTCTCCCTCTCTCACTGCCCCGCCCATGCTTTCTGGTTCTTGCTCTCTCTCTCTCTCTCAAAATAGCATGATGTAGGAATAACAGAGAATTTGAAAAAGAAAAGTTACCAAAAATGGTGATTTATAACCTATGAACAGTTGATCTCTACTTCCTTTATCCTTTTTTCCAGAAAAACAAACTCAAAAGGAGAAAGTCAAATGCATCAAAAAATAAAATTATAAACCTATTAGTACATAGAAAAAATATAAATTCTTAGTCCATACATATTCTTTGGAAGCTTCCTTACTTTTTATACATATAACTAACTATATATAAAATTAAAAACATCTCAATATGTTTCTTTAAATAGCTTGAACTTAATTACTAACTAAAATCAAAGGTCATCCCATTGTGAGAATAGTCAATTTTACGTAAACTCTTATTAATCTTTACAAACTTCAAATTAACAAGATATTAAATGAAAACGAATGGAAACCTGGCTCTACAAATTTATAGTTCTTTAACGGCAAATGAACAAGCATACTATAAAAACAATCATCCTTAAAATAAGAAAAAGCCCCCACAGATCTGATACATTCTAGCTGTCTATGTGTGTACTATTTCAGCAAGTCAAGGTAGCACAGGTTTTCAAAAAAGCCTATTTCATTTCAGTAAAGGTAAAAATTGTAATGATTACAAAGCACACTCTACATTTAGTCACTAGCAACTTTGTCTAATCTGAGCAAGATTCATTTAGGTCTGGGAGAAACAAAATCTTCCCAAAACTGACACTAAGAAAAAGGTAACAGTTAAAAATCCCTTGAAGTTCTTGGGGCGCCTGGGTGGCTTAGTCAGTTGAGCGTCCAACTTTCGCTTAGGTCATGATCTCGCGGTTCGTGGGTTCGAGCCCCGCCGTCGGGCTCTGTGCTGACCGGCAGCTCAGAGCCTGGAGCCTGTTTCAGTCTGTGACTCCCTCTCTCTCTGACCCTCCCCTGCTCATGCTGTCTCTCTCTCTCTCCTAGAAATAAATAAAACATTAAAAAAAAAAAAATCCCTTGAAGTTCTCATCTACTGGTTGGGAAAAGAGTAAATTGTAAATTTGGCTACCCCAATTTAATCTATGTATACCTGTTCAGAGGAGTATTATTATCTGTCCATATACAGAATCTAAATGAGAACATTATAGTGATGTTAATAAAACAATTGGGGTGCCTGAGTGGCTCAGTCAGATAAGCATCTGACTCCTGATTTCAGTGCAGGTCATGATCTCACAGTTCATGGGTTCAAGCTCTGCACTGGGCTCCACACTGATATTGCAGAGTCTTACTGGTATTCTCTCTCTCTCTCTTTCTCTGTCTGCCCCTCTCCTGCTCACACATGCACTCTCAAAGTAAATAAATTACTTAAAATAAAACAAACAATTGTTTCTTACCCCCAGAATCGACAATAACGTTGGAAGATTTATTTCCAAACACAGATTCGAAGTCAACATTAAGGCCAGCTGAAGGATGTGGCTGCGCAACAGGAGATGGAGTGAATCCTAAGAAAAACCAAAATGGACAAAGTTCAATTCTTCACTAACTCTACTTTAGAGCTCTTAATAATGACGACAATTGAATGGAAAAAGCAATAAATTCCCTCAACAAAAAACAAGGCCAATCCTTTAAGCAAAATGTTTCTTAACATTATGTCCCTCTTGTGTCCAGATGCTTTTCGAATATCCAAAAAATAAGAGACCATGTTCAACTCCTGACCACTCTCTAACTTCAATTTGCTACTTTAACAGTGAAGTGGACAACTATACAATTAAACATGCCAATTTACCTAATTCAAATCTGAAATACCAGAACATAAATAGGAAACCTTCTTTCCTATCTGTGACACTGATGCTGGTGGTACTAAGCCAACACCCAGCTCGTATCTCTGAAACCAGCTATCCTAAGGTAACAAATGATGATTTCAAAAACTGTGAAAGGTTGTATTTTTGTGAGGCGAGGTTCTGAATTTCTAGGATTTGAAAAGAAGAATTAAAATAATCTACAAATTATTAGGGTTGTCACATGATTTGGGGAGTATACTCCAAGTAGAAAACAGTTTAGCATCTAGCAAGTAAAAGGAAGGAATTCTTTTACTTTGTGGAAGGCTATCATAAATAACGTTTTCTTTACCTCTCAATTCTATGAAGTCAAAATGTGTGTGTGTATATATGTATGATATTATATGTACGATATTATACATATACACACACAAATATACACATATATTATTTATATAGTTATATAAATATAAACATAATATATCCATTATATTATATATCAACTAGTATTAGAAGATTATCAAATATTAGGGAAAGATTAACCTTTTTCGTCCCAAATACGGGCTCTTATCCCTCCCTCAACTTTCTATAAAAGGACTTTCAGTCTGTCTGAATCTCACTTTGAATTCTTAATGTACACCACCAGGATATAAAGCACAATGATATTGTACTAAAAAGACTGCTTTTTAAGAAAACTGTAAAAAGTAGGATAAGACTTGGTGAGAAGTCCACGAATGTCCTCAAAGACAGAGAAGCTAGAATAATGAACTTATCAATGACTCACACAGCAGATACACATCAATACTCCTACTTTAAAAGTAGTATTTTATAGCTAGCATGAATATCCCCTAGTGCACCAATTTTTTTAAATGTTCTTATTCCATAATTACTTAACTACTCTTAAAGACAGTGGTCATACAATGAGAACACAAATACAATAAAAATACAAAATAATTTAGTATATAAATATGACCATTCATTCAAAAAAATATGACCATTCCCAGGTTTCTAGACTTAACAATTTCACAGTATTTTAAAGTGTACAAGCTATTTAAGAATTATGCCATGGGCTCACTGGTTCTTCTCCTAACTCTTAACAACCAAGAACTGACATATCTACTCAAGAAAGACAAAAATCTACCAGACTTACTTATGTACCCATGCGTAAGAAGTATACATACTGTTCTTTAAATCATTGTGGAAACAGTATCTTGGCTATATTTCCAAACTTTAGAAAATACATGAAACAAGAATTTATAATGAGGATAGCATATCAAAGTCCTATTTTCTCTTGCTATTTTGTCTTAGCTTTATAGAATTTGGTGACTATGTGTAAAGAGAGAAGTCATTTCCTAAGGTACCTAAGGGCATCAATCTGTGGAATTACAATACTATTACCTAAAAGTAGGAAAGGTTTGAAAGGATGTAAAGTAATCCAGAGCTAGTACTTCAAATTTAAAAAGTCTCTAGCTATACATAAGTGTTAAAAATAAAAAGACTTATTTTTAGTAAATTGTAATAGTTGACTGGCTACCAGTGAAGCAAGCAACATATTTCAAAGTTAACAATCTTTTAAGTAAGGAATGTGTATAAAACATCTTGAAGGTTAAGAGTTCTGCATTATCATTTCAATGAACATTATCAACTTAATGGCCTTTTATTCCAAGTCACTTTTTGGGAGACTGTAATGATTTAATTTTTAAAAGTAACTTAAAGATTAAAAAAAAAAAACTACGATCACCATTTCAAAAGGAAAATTTAAAAACACACAAAAAAAAGATGAACAGGTTTTCTGAGACAAGGTTAACTGTATAAAATAATCATAATATTGAACTGCCTACTCTTTCATTTCACCAAAACCCAATGAAAACTGCCACTAACCAGCACTAATTCACAGTTTAACATTTAGAAACCACTGCCCTGCAGGGCAAACCTCAGGAGGACAATAATAAATTAACTGAAAGGTACAAGATGAACAAGCTTCGGGGACAAAAAGGCATTCCAAACACCTTCCAGAAAAATTTACCATTTTCTTAACAGATTTTGGTGTAGTTCCAAAATAAATTAGGCTTCATTCTTTTTGTGAAACTAACTTCTATTTATTAAACACTATCCAAGAGCCTTATAAAGAGTATTATTATTTAAATCTCACACCAACCTCATGAGATAGTATATTAAACAATTTACTCAAGGTCAATGATTTAATTAAGTGGTAAAACCAAGACTTAAGCCCCAAATTGTCTGATTCCAAAATCTTTTAGGGGTTTTCAGTTTATCCCAAATATTTCATCTTATATAAACTAGTAGGTAGAAAAAGACAATTTTATTACTACAGCTATAATAATTGTGTTTATTCATCAGGACTATTAAAGTTGTATGAACTTCTCAAGCTTTTCATAGCAAATGCTGCGTCTAAAAAGTGAACAACCCATGGTAATTTCAAAACCTAAAAGCAATGAAAAAAGGGTTAAGACTGTATCTGATAAAGAGTAAGTTGAGTAAAAAATCCATTTGAAATATAAAGTGATCTACACAAGATGGTTTTAATAATAACGCTATGTACCAGGCATAGTGCCAGACGTTAGTTATATATGTAAACTTCATTAAAATCCTATTAGCCATTATTATCCCAATTTTCATTGGCTTAGAAAGGTTAAATGCTTGCTTCAAGTCCTACAGAGAAGGAAGTAAACGAATTCAAAAAGGAACTCATGCAAATTCACTGGATTCTAAACACATATTTTCCATCAAATATCCTCATACATTCCATTTTTGATTTATTTATTTTTTTAAGTAGGCTCTATACCCAGCATGGACCCCAACACAAGGCTCAAACTCAGGACCCTGAGATCAAGACCTGAGCTGAGATAAAGAATCAGATGCTGAACCAACTGAGCCACCCAGGTGCCCCATAAGTTTCATTTTTAAATCCTTTTAATCATGTCCAACTTTGCCAGTTGGTAATCTCAATTCTTTAGTTGTATCAAACACACTTTTTAATGCCAACTGACCTATGATAAACAACTCCTATGAGAAAACAAAACAATAAACAGCCGGATTTTGAGTTTTCATTGCTACTGCACTGGCCTAGAATATGTTTGCAAAGACAGAAATAGGAGTATCAAGTTGGCCATGCTTCTATGGAAACTGTTTCCCTTTTCTACTGTCTTTGCACAGTGCTGGAAAAGCACACTTGTTTCCAGCAGAATCTCCCTACATCTGTGCCACAACTGCTCAAGTCAAAATTACTTAGTGTTCTCTCACTAACATCCCTACAAAGGGCTTTAAATTCCATAAGCTTGTAATATTAAAATTTTATAAATTCCTCTAAAAATGTGAACCTTTTGAGTATGAGCTTAAGTAGGAAGATGACAAGCATCCACTCACAAAACAATCCTGTGTTTAAATAAGGCAAACAAAATTAGGCAAATTTTTTTTAATTTTTAATTTTTTTAAATTTTTAATTTTTCTTACAAAACTAAGAAAAAACCTTATTTTAATTTTTTAAAAAAAATTTTTAATTTTTCTTACAAAACTAAGAAAAAAACCTTATTTTAAAGAAAACAACAATAGGAGCTCCCTCCTGCATAAATAGATCACCTTAAGAGATACCATTACCCACCTCCAAATAAACCAGGTACAGTAGAAGGCTCATGGCACATAAGCACAGTATTAGGATAAGCCTGAGTACCATAAAAAGAATCTGACAAGGCATACACAGGGGGAAAAAAAGAACAGGAAAAAAAGGAAAAGAGAAAAATGAGTAGGAACAGTTAAGAATAGAATGGAGTAAAAACAAAACAAAACAAAACAAAAACAGGAGAGTCCAAGCTCTTAGTGTTCTCCAAATTACAACTTTCTTAAAAAAAAACAAAACAAAACAAAACAAAAAAAACAACAAAGCACTTGTCTCCATTATGGATATATTTAAAATATATCCGCAAAATATTTTTGAAATAACCAACACTGTATTTCTTTAGAGAAATAAGAAGCAGTTGGCTTTTGTCAATATTAACATGTCTTCTGATGTCTTTGGTTAAGTAAGAAGCCTGAATGAGGTCACAGACATGGCATAGGTGGGACCACAACCCACTCTTCTTGCTTTAATATGGTCTAGCTACTTACTTAGTACAGGGAGCATCACATTATCAGATCAATATCCTCCTCTGGAAGGGTTAGAGGGTGTCTATGTAGCTATTCTGATTTTTCTGGGTTGTTCTAAATCCTAAAGAGCAGAAGCTGGCAAATTACAGCCAGTGGCCTATTTTTACAAGGCCATGTGAGCTAAAAATGGTTTTTACGTTTTTACAGCGTTTTAAAAAATGAAATACAAAAGAAGAATATACAACAGGGATTTTATGTATCTGGTAAAGCCTGAAATATTTACTATCTATCCCTTTTACACAAAAAGTTTACTGACCGCTGTTCTAGAGCAGCACTATCCGAAAGAACTCTCTAGTAACAGAAATGTTTTCTAAATCTGCTCTCTCCAATACGGGAGCCACAAGTCACATGTGCCACTGAACAACAGAAATGTGGCTAATAAAGCTAAATATGTAAAAATTTTAATTTTATTTAAGCATTTAATTTTAATTAATTAATGCAGCCAGTGGCTAATTAGACAATGTATCTCTAAGAATGACATATTTTGGGTGGTCCTTTCATGCTCTTAGTACTCTGAATAAGAAACTGTTAGAATTATTATACAACCGACTTTTCAGAAACTTTTAATGTGGATTAGAAGTCTTATTAAAAAGGCTCTTCTAAAGACAGGCATTAGCAAACTATAACTGTAGGTGTTTGTAAATAAAAATGTATTGGAGCACAGCCAAACACATGTTTATGTACTCTCTATGGTTACTTTCATGCTATAAAGACAAAGCTGGTAGCTACAACAGAGACTATGTGGCTCAAAACCCAAAAATATTTATAATCTGACCCTTTAAGAAAAAATGTGCTGATCCTTGTTCCAGACTAATATCTAATGGTTGACATGAGTGGTTTTTATTTTCCCATTCTGTACTTATTTTTACAAAAATGTAAGTACTAAGTAATAATTAAGTTTTTGCTAATGACAAAAACCTGACAGATTTTTCTTAAATATAATTTATACTTTCATTTGTACTATTTGCACTCAAAGGATGTAAATATTTAAATAAAGTCCACACTTCCATAAGGCAGTGTAGACCAAAGCTAAAGGACTCCTGCATCAAGCTTTTGTTCCTACTAGCTGGGTTTTCTTAGTTTATTAACTTTTCTGGGACTCAGGCGACCCATCCAGAAAATGATAATAATTCTCTTACCAATATGAGAGTTGAGAACTTGACCAAACATTCTCTGGAGGTCTCTGCAAGCCCTAAATCACCAATTCTATCATTTTAATCTTCAAATGCACCTACTCACCTTGGCGTATATAGCCATCAAACTTTATGGTCTTCCTCTTGCCCCAACCCACAGGCCCCAACTTAAGAAACATTAGGAAAATGAAATTTCTAGTATATTCCTTTTGTTACGGACTTTCCTTGAATGGCTTTATGTTTTTACTCTGCTTCTGTATCAATGTGAAATAGCTATGGCCTTTAGCACTTAAGGTTACTGACTTCCATTCTAACCCTCCTGGATGAATAGAAGATTGACAGCCTGAAGCACATGGACTGTTCTGACTTAAAAGATGGAAATTATTGCCCCAAAGCAAAGATATCTTTCATACTCCAAAATTAAGGCAACTAGCTTAAGATGACACAAGAAGCCATATTTACTAAATACATACTAGTGTAAATTCAGTAAGCATAAATACAAAGTTATTAGAAAACCACAAAGGATAACTCTAGTAACCCTTTATTACCAAGCAAATAAGGTACTGTATTTCACAAATTTTCTAAAGAGTAACAGAATGTGAAATTTAGTTTCAACCACTTTTTAATTTGTAATGTTTTACAATGACATGAAGGAAATACTGTAGTCAATTACTGTAATTTAGAGCTATGAGACTAGTTATATATAACTAGAGCACCTGTCTTGTAACTCTCAAATCCCCAACTATTGTTTTCTAGTCACCTCTCTTCTGCCCCGTTAGCTATATAAAACAGAATGTTCAGAACGTGGCCACGTGATCTCTTTAGGATACACAGATGACTTTATGCACGTTGCTTTAAACAAAGATTTAAACTTGCATCATCTTTAGCTGTTTCTCTGAATTGACTAAAAGACATTTCACTATCTTTTAAGGGATGTTTAGCATCTTTTTAGCAGGGTTCAAAAACATTAAGTTCAGGTTAGTAAATACTCAAAAACTTATATTTCCCTGTATTAACTCTGGAGTGAAATTTTACCTTTTTATGGATTTTTATACCATAATTAAGGGCAATTTAGTCAAGTTGTTTTTCATTTTCTACTTGTCATTTATCTCCAGGCTAACAATGAAGTGAAACCCTTAAGAATGGGACAGACAGGGGCACCTGGGTGGCTCAGTTGGTTCAGCAACTGACTCTTGATTTCACCTGAGGTCATGATCTCAGGGTTTATGAGCTGGGGCCCTGCATGGTGCTGACAGTGCAGAGCTGGCTTGGGACACACACTCTCTCGCTCTGCCCCTCCTCTGCTCACATATGCCTATGTGCTCTCTAAATACATAAATAAACTTAAAAAAACACAAAAGAATGAGACAGACAGTATGTATTTATTTGAGGCAATCTAACATTATACTATTCACAGTTTTAAAAAAATTAAGATAGCTATTAAGAGTGATTAACCACCCTCCCTCCCAAACACAAATGGAAAAAATAGAAGTATGCATAAACATGTCAGTAAGTTTTAAGAGATGTTACCCTACAACCAACTTTCCGAATTAATTAATAAAATGTGGCAAACGATGTTAGACAGCTTGAGCATCACACTAATATGATAGAGAACAAAATACAAAAAACAGCCCAACTTCAAAGGAAATTTTCTTTCCTAAAAACTTCAATTAAATAAAATTAGGGATACTAGTGTCATTTTAAAAATCTCACTACATTATTTAGTTTATTTTAAAATTTGATATTAAAATCCAAAATTATTACAGTGCCTTAAAAATAATCAATGAATACGTAAGAAAATACTTAGGCAGTATAAACATCAATTGGAAAGAAAGGTTAAATGGTACTTTACCAACAAACATTTCATGAGTAGGTGTCCTAGTAGTAAAAGTGGATACATCTGAAGAAATGGGAAGGTGAACATCACCACTACTTTTTGTGAGGAAAGGATTTAAGCTTGGAATGGCATCATCAACAGCATCTATAGTAGCAGAGAAAGGATCTGTGCAGTCCAAGTGCATTACAGCAAAATGAAGAAAGGAAGTAAATTAATTAGTATTGTAATTAGTCAAAAGATGCAAAGTGAAAAGTAGTAGCTATATTACTGTTTATTAATCTTAGTGCAAAATATCTAATCATCATCATCAAGATGGTAGAACTGCATTTAAATATTTCAAAATGAATCCTCAGAAGAAAATATTTACATGTCCAATTAACACTGGCAGCATACTGGGGCGCCTGAGTGGCTCAGTCAGTTGAGCATCCGACTTTGGCTCAGCTCATGATCTCACAGTTCGTGGGTTTGAGCCCTGCATCAGGCTCTGTGCTGGGAGCTCAGAGCCTGGAGCCTGCTTCCAATTCTGTGTGTCTCTCCCTCTCTGCCCCTCCCGTGCTCATGATCTGTCTCCATCTCTCAAAACTAAATAAATGTTAAAAAAAAAAAAAGAAAGAAAGAAAGAAAATTGCAAAAACATTTTAAAAAACCATTGGCAGCATACTAAAGATATATCTGCTTTCAAATATCAGGAAGCAAATAGTCAGATAGTTAAAAATGAGAAAAAACCAAAATGCATCTATAAAAGAGCCACCTGACCTGGTCATGTTCCCTGACCTAGGTGGGAATATATTGGCTTTCATGGCATAGCTGTTTACACAAATAACAGATATGAACAACCAATATGTGTGTGGTATTAAGTAAAATTTCAAAACAAAAAGAATCAGGGATCAGGGGGTATTTCTAACAAGTGGGAGTAACTTATGTATAGGTTCAGAGGTAGGAAACTAAAAATACAGATGAAGAAAGGTTCTTATGATTTAGAAAAAGGAAAGGAATTTTAGAAAAATGAACAGAGACAAAAGAGTGGTGTCCACTGAGTAAACTGGGAACCGCTCTCAAAGTCCAGTTAAGGATTCTAAAGCCAAATCATTAAGGCTTTGAACAATTTGCTGAAGGGGCACCTGGATGGCTCAGTTGGTTAAGCATCTGGCTCTTGATTTTGACTCAGGTCATGATCTCACAGTTCCTGGGATGGAGCCCTGCATGGGGCTCCATGATGACAGTGGAGAGCATCCTTGGGATTCTCTGTCTCCCTCTCTCTCTGCCCCTCCCCCATCTGCGTGCGCAAGCTCTCTCTCTCTTGCAGTCTCTCTCTCAAAATAAATAAACTTAAAAAATAAAAATAAAAAGATATGTTGAATAACAAAAGTATTGTTCCATATTAGAATGGTACCAAATATATATTATTTGGTATATATTATTACCTCTAAAGTTATTTTTAGAAACAGATATTTACTATACCTATACCTCATTCAAGATAATCATCATTCTAATGACTGAAAGCCACTCTTCCTACCTTAAGTAAACGGGGAGACAAAAAAATAAAAGGCAACAAAAATACTTTTAACCTGTACTTTCTCTGCTTTTAAGCAGCAGCTTATTCTTGCCTATCCTTGTCTAGTTTGTGATCTTCACTTAACAAAATAGTATACTAAGCACTTTATTTTACTCTAAGACTGTATGATAGAGTAAGACAGCAAAGATTTTAAGGACCAGCTCATTCACTATAAGCATACTTTCCCTAAAGTCAATAAATTCAAATCCTACAACTGTTGAAAAAAGGAAAATACAAAAAAAAAATCTTGAGGTCAGTGGCTTATATAGAATCTTTTTATGAAACTTTAATTTTTATATTATTTTTTTGTATTTCTGTGTAATTATTTTCTGGGAATTAAGCATTTCTACAGAACATCAATTCACACCCCAAAATAAAGTGCTACAAATGTATCAAAGTTCACTAATGTAGTATTCACACTCAAATGATCACATTTAACATCTTTCCCACCCCTCCACTCCACAATAAATGGAGCAATGGATGAAAAGAATCCAAAAAAGTAATTAATAAGCAGAAACCAGATACAAGAAATTGGTCATCATTACATTTTTATTTTAGTACAGAAAACCTATCTAACTCCTTCCTGAATAAGAAAAGAGATGCATTATTTTTAGTTGATCAATTCACTGAAAGTACTATTTTAAAATAAAGAATAGTGGCATAAAGTTTTTGAAGTACAGCATACGTTGTTGGACTCAAAACATCTCTCTAGTTTTCCATGCCTTTTGCTATGAGAGAAGTCATTCAAATAATACATTTTTCTATTACCCATCTATGGGACATGTTTGGGGAAAGTTATTAGTTATCTGCTACTCTAATGAATGATTTTTACCTAAACTTATTATCATCTTCTAAGAATATACAGAACCATCTAAGTATACCCATATTGTCAATCAAACAATAAGAAAAATCAGTTCTTAATCTACTTGACAAAACATTAGAGGTAATCTAGATGATGTTAATTTGTTAGTGGACACTATACTATCAATAATAAAAACAAATTCATTAAGATAAAAAAAAAGAAATGTTCCAGCTATCCCAACTTAAACTTCATTTACCAGACTGGAAACTACTATAAATTCTTTAAACTTTTAAAAAATAGTTTTTATTATTCATTTGAATTTAATTTTATGCTACTACATCAAAAAATAATCCGAAGTACTGAGGACTAAAATGCAAAAATTAAGAATCAACATTATTGTGTCCTAAATACTGGATACCTACATATACACAAAGACAAATGAGTTTTTCATAAAGTGTTGTGTGTTTCATGCCAGCTGACAGTAAAGCAAATTAAACTTCAGAACAGATTATTTTTTGCCTGAATTAAGTTTTGAAATCTTACTTAAAATATACATGATTGTACTGAGCTGGTAATATTGTATATTGTTAGATTTGCTGTGACACAAAGTGTTAAAGGTGATACAAACTTAAATATTCTCACAGATTAGTATTCAACACCAAGTACTCATTCAGACTCCAGACCTTTTCTTGAAAAATCAAAGGCTCATTAATAAATGCAATGAGGGGAACAGAAGAGCTTGTGTTCTCTCATGTTCATTTTTAGGTGGAATCTTAAATGCCTTTTATATAAACATGCAAACCTTACTTCCTTTTAACTCTACACTGCTAACTTATCTGTGGGAATACACATCATCTCTGTGGTGCTTAGGATAAGAACTAAGTTAATACCAAATCTGTTTGAAAAATACCAAATGTTATTAAAAACCATTTTTAGCAAATGAAAGCAAGAGAAACATAGAATAAGATTATAGAACTATCAAAAAAATCATACCTTTGTTTTGTCTAACTTTAATTTTTAAAATAAAGTAAAAAATCTTAATCCAAATGTCCTTGATATAAAAAATACACTGAATTAAGAAGTATTCGGGGTGCCCAGATGACTCAGTTGGTTACGCATCTGACTTCGGCTCAGGTCAATAGCTCATGGTTCGTGGGTTCAAGCCCCATGTCAGGATCTGTGCTGACAGCCAGCTCAGAGCCTGGAGCCTGCTTCAGATTCTGTATCTTCCTCTCTCTCTGACCCTCCCCTGCTCACACTGTCTCTCTCTCTCTCTCTCAGAAATAAAACATTAAAAAAAATTTTTTTTAAAAAGAAGTATTCAAAGTTCCTGACTTAAAACACTCTTCAGCTATCCAAGCATGCGGAAGTCCAAACTCTGAAATTATCACCAGCTCAGAAATATGAAAATCAAGACAAGATATAATTCTTAAATTAAGAGGTTCATAGTAAAAGTCACTCACTGTCCTTTCCACATATGTAATAAGCTTTTGGAAAAATAACAGTCAACTGCTATGGCCTCTGTTCCCCTGTACTTGATTTGTATTGTTAATACTTTTAACAGTCTCACTTGTACACAGAAAGCCTCATGTTAAAATATGAAGGAAATTTTGATGGAAATAATACAAAGAGAAAAATAACCTAAAACAGAACACTAAAACATGACTATGTGTATTCCAATATACTATTTTCACAGACTGCTATGAAATAATTTCTTCTGACAGGACATGAAACAATTCTTGAAATTATTCTCCCACAATAATAGTCCATCTGGCTTCATATAAGAGTTCAATAATCCCAAGCAGAAACTAATTATCTTCTCATTATTAGAATTAACTATCGAAACAAAACAACTTTACAGTTCACTTTCTTTGAAATGTCGTGATAGTTCTCACTAAGCCTACTGTAAAATTTCTCATCTATTTAGAAAAGCAACATTCAGCCTTAACTTCAGAAAAACGACATTGTTTTTTAAAGTGGGGAGGGGTAAAGCAAGTTAAAACTATTTAAATGGTCATATCAATTCTACTAAGCTTTTCTAAAACAATTCGCAATAAGCAGAAAATATGCGTGTAATTTTGCTGATTATAAAAATCTTAAAATTAGGATTTATCACTGGGATATTAAGAAACTCTTAATCTTAATCTGCTGTCTACATACCATTCAGACAAATAGTTCTAAGATATTTATTGACTTTAACTTATTTTTAGAAATTACCCCTCAGATCTTAAATTTAGCTAAATTAATCATCTAAGTTAGTTTTTTAAATCAAGTCATGGCTCACAAAATTAGTGTAGAAATCTAATGTTTTAGTGTTTCACTATTCCTGTTCCCTGCCACATCCTGAACCAAAAACTACCTGTCCAGAAAAGAAAACATCCACTCATTCAACAGCTAATATCAAGGTGTTATAGGCATTGATAATACAGCACTGAACAAACATTTAAAAACTCCTGCTTTCACGCTTTTGAGTGTCTGTAAAATAATACATATATGCAAACAAAGGCACCAAAACCAACCAAAATCATTTGAAAAAATATTATATATCTAAGCAAAACTGCTTAAAAATTGACATGGATTAGGCTCAATCCTTCAAAGATGCCAGGTCAGTGATCATGATACAGTCGGCTTAAGATCAAAGAACTACTCCAGGGCAGCAAACATTCCTATTGCTATTAGGGGAAAATTTTTTGAATACCAAAATCTTAAAAATCTGAATTAAAAGTTTTAAATACAAGTAGCATAAAGTTTGTCATAACATTCACAGTCAGAACATAATTTATTGCATGATAACACTGTATGAGTTTTACTAGAACCTTATCATATATTTACAAAGCCTGAGTTTCCTTTCTCCATTAGTCATTTTTTTTCCAGACCAAAAGCACAATAACCTTTACGCATTTTCTGATTATGTAATATTCAACACTGAAATAACGATTTCATACTTCACTATACATTGGATCCTTCCTCTTCACCTTCATTAAAACCTCACTTCATAATTTAGTTGAAGAGAAATTCCAAAATTACATTTACAAGTACATGAAAATGTCTTCAAGGAAGAAAATTACCTCATTGCCATTTTAAATATTTTTCAAGTTCACCCGTATCAAGTGTAACCAAAACTATACAAATGAGTGAAATACTACAGAATGCAGATGGGAAAGGCCTATACAACATATTAAGTAGAATTCATTAATGCTTACCTCCCCATGTACTTGCTACCTGAGAAGCAGATGGCATAGGAAGTACAGATGGGTGAAAAGTTGGCTGTTGCAAATCAAGCAGATCATTTGGTAGCTTTGATGTGCTAGGAAAATATTTTGAAAAGATTATTTATCTATGTGTCTATTTATTTATTAGGTAAAATCTTACTGTATCATTCTCTTCTGCTCCAGTAAATAAAAATATTAAAAGTAAAAAAAGGCCCCAATAATGTAAACTTCAAATGAAGGAACAGTTTCAGCACAGTAACAGTTGCACACCCTTAATATATTTAACAGCATATCTATATTTATGATAGCATATTTCTTTTTTTTTTTAATGTTTTTTTTTTATTTCTTTCTTTTTTTTTTTTAATTTTTTTTTATTTATTTCTAGGAGAGAGAGAGAGAGACAGCGTGAGCAGGGGAGGGTCAGAGAGAGAGGGAGTCACAGACTGAAGCAGGCTCCAGGCTCTGAGCTGGCAGTCAGCACAGAGCCCGACGCGGGGCTCGAACCCACGAACCGCGAGATCATGACCTAAGCGAAAGTCGGACGCTTAACCGACTAAGCCACCCAGGCGCCCCATATGATAGCATATTTCTAAGGAGGTCTGGAAAAAGTATTCAAGTGCCATGTCTTAAATTTATATAGGATTCAAATAATTATACTATACCCCTTTTGGGATGTATCAGTGACTCTCCTGGGAAAATACTGATTTCCTTACTGAAATGTACCTAAACAACACGATTCTGAAATATGAAACATCATGGCAATTTTAATCTTTTTTAAGGAAATGTATTTTCTTACTTTTAATCTTCAAAGAACTTCCATTACATTTGTAGTACTAATACCCCTAACACAGCAAATTACCTGTTAATTGTCCTGCTTCAATATCCAAACATATTAATACAGGAAAAAATTATACATGCATATATGACATAAACTTGTAACAAAGACACCACATTACACAATTATAGGGGGCATTACTTACATGATATGTACGACTTTTATGTGATTAAGGAATAACAATCAAAAAAAGATCCCAGAGGGGTACTTGGGTGGCTTAGTCGACTGAGTCGCTCTTGATTTCAGCTCAGGTCATAATCTCATGGTTAGCAGGTTCGAGTACCACATCAGGCTCTGCACTGATGGCACAGAGCCTACTTGGGATTCTCTGTCTCTCTGTCTCTCTCTCTCTGTGTCCCACCCCTCCCACCCTGCTCATGCTCTGTCTCTCAAAAATAAATAAACATTATAAAAAAGATCCCAGAGTTTCCATGAATTGAAGCATTGTGTATGCAACAACATAAATCATTTTTAACTTACACTTACTCAAAAACGAAATGTCTTTTAGATGTAAAAAATAGCTTTACAAATAAATAAAAATACAAATGCATTTAGTGCTTTAGGGGAAAAAATAGAATAAGGCAATATGCATTCTGTTACAGGCTATTAAGATTTGCCTTCAATTACAATCAAAAGGTAAAAACTGTGAGTGTATTAAGTGAAATAAAAAATAGTCACATTAGTTCTTTACCTAGAAATTTGTTTCATTCTTAAACATTCAATATCTTTTCCATTTATTTCCCCTAAGAGAGACTTCTTTCTAAGGTTCTTAAGTGGGGCTATTTCACCGGTTCAATGTTATTTTAATGGGAATTTAAAAAGGCAGCATGCCAAAAAACAAAACAAACAAGAAAAAAATAATTATAAAGTTGAAAGAAAAACAACTAAATTCAACAAAAATCTTTTAAGACTTTAGGGAACAGGTAGCAACTCAGTAAAGTTACACTGAATGATGACAGGACTCAGTAGGTGGAAGGGAAGATGTTTTAAGGAGGAGTTAAAAATAAAATACACAGAAACAACAACAAAACCAAAGATATTGTTTACGATTGTGTCCTTTAATATAGGACTGTGCTAAATCTTACACTAGCCACATGGGAGTCTGTTGGAAATGTAAAGTCTTGGGGCTTGGCTTATGCCTACTGAATCAGAAACAGCGGGGTTGAGGTTCAGAAATCTGTGGCTTCAGACTCTCTCCAGGTAATTCTGATGCTTACTAAAGAATGAGAACCAGTGACCTATACCATACCATGTCTTATGTGGAAAACAGGTCTTAAAAAAAAAAAAAGATTAAGAAGTAACAGAGCCAGGATTCAAACCAGAATCTGACTTCCAAACTTCTACTTTAAATCACTCTGAGGTAAAAGATAGGACAAATTTAAAATAAACCAATTATTTGAATTTGCCTAGAAATATTATTTCCATTGTTATGTGGCTTCAATTGTTGACATCTCAACAAGATTATTGACGTTGGTCTGGGAGGTTTCAATACCACACAAATCTGGCTTAAACTAAACTCTTACTGTATGCCAGATTACTAAATTTAACACCAGGCAATAAACAGACATGAAAGACATTTAATATCCAATGAAAGGATACTGTCAAATATATATATGTATATACACAGGTATCCATATATATAAATGAAACAAATATATACGTGTGTGTGTGTGTGTGTGTGTATACATATCCATATATGTAAATGAAACATCTGCTCACAGATAACCCACTACATTCCAATTAGTATAAATTTGTAATTTAGCCATTTTCCACTTCCTAAATATGCAACATATAAACTTTTATCACTTTATATTTAATTATATCACTACACCATTTATTAATACCAACATGTGAATTTATAAATGTAAAATCATAAATTAAACTAAATCTGAAAAACTCTACGAGAAGTCTTTAGATCTAAGTATTAAAAGGTAATCTTTACCTTCTCCACCTACCTGTTAGAAGAACTAGGGGTAGAAAATATGTCAATGGCTGGTGCAGTCATTATACCCCCTGCAGAGGTGGACACAGGAGAGGCTGCAGTTGTTAAAGAGGTATGAGGTTTCTTTGCAAGTTCTTTTAGACGCTGTTCCTGTTGACAAAGAGAACTAGCATAAAGAATCCGGAAACCAGATTTGTTTTACGGCCTCTGAAAAAAAGCACTTTCTGATTTTGTTCTGATAGCAGAAAGGTGTTCTCGGTTTCATCAGTCAGTCAATGTCAGGATGAAAAATCAGACTACTGAGTTTCACCCCCTTTGGGTAACTATGATTAAATACTGTTAGTCTATTTAGAGATTCCAGTTTCTTTCTGAATATCTGTACCCGTTTTTCCAAATAAAGAGAATGCAAACACCTACCTTTAAAGCTTTTAAACGAGCCTGTTCTTCCTCTAATGCTGCCTGCTTTTCCCTTTCATCCACTTTGGTTAGAGACAGGCCAGTGCTTGCCAGGGAAGAGACTGCGTTGGAAAGTGTTGTTGCCCTAGGAAATTGGACAAAGGTAATTTGGCTTTTTTGCAATCTGGTTATAAAATGATGCAGCAACAGTGCCATGGAATGGCACTACAATTATGAACTTACCTTATGGAGTAAAAATCAGTACTTCAGATAAAATATTCTACCCAGTAACCCACAGGATTATTAGCAATTAGCTAATTTATACAAATATTCACTGTTTTTTAAATTGTTAGACTTTTTGGGAAGGGTTCACAATAACCCTTCTTCCAACACTGCTTTTTCCAAGCCCCAAGGGAGGGAAATAATGCAATTAGAAGAGTTCACATACTCCCAAAAAAACCCTGATTGGTTTAAAATGTATTGAGTTTCTCACAGGAAATTACTCTGCTAACTTACAGCCTAGGTTTTGGCAGTACTACTACAGGAAGATGAAAACATTAGTGCCAGAAATATATAATGTGTATCTAGATAGGTTTCCCTTATAGTAACACCCAAATATGTCATTCCCAGAGGACCACAAGGTTCCTTCATAGGGAAGATCTATTTCATCAGTCCATCTGGCACCTCTTTTCCAAACATATTACACATGCACAATGCATCATTACAGCAAGTCACCTCCTTTCCCTTATGTCACACTATAAACTCTAACAACATATATTCCCAAATGTCAATTCTAGGCAATATAAACAATTGTAGTAAAGAGTTCTAACCTGAGGAATTACTATTAGTCTTGAGCTTCACTCATTTTCCTTTTATCACACACCAAACATCATTAATTTATACTCACACACAGCACACAAGTGGCAAACTATTTAAATTTTACATAAAATCAATTTTACATAAAATCAACTCCGAAAACAAGGGAAGAGTAATACAGTTGTGATAGAAATGCAAGAAACCCAACAAATTTTATGATTAAAAAAAAGTATGACTTTAAATCAATGTACCTCAACTACTTGGCCATATTAACTCATTTCGTATATAAGTGAGCCATATAATCTGGCTTATGCTTCTAAAAACCTACTAGAAAATTCAAAGAACGAATTTGGAATGAAAAAGAATTAAAATCCAGTGAAAACATTTTCCTTTAAAAATTACTTAAATTTTGTTGTCACAAAGTTCTGAAACAATCAAAAAATGTAAAGAAAAGGAAGGCTCTCATTACATTTTACACAAATTTTTTTTTCATGCCATTAAAAGGAAATCTTCATAAAGAAACATAAGGATTGTACTCAAGCCACACTACCCAACATAAAACTCATGTTACAAAGTCATTATGATATGAACTGTGCTATTTTCAGTTTGTTAGGTTTTAGTCTTGGAAATCAGCTCAAAGCCCAACACACTGATTAAAATGTCAAATATCTACCCCATGAAATGGCATCCGGGAAAGATAATGAATTTTGATGTCAGATATCCTAGATTTGAGTCCCAGAATTACTATTGTGTACTTCACTGGGATACAGTGAGGGTTAATTAAATTTGTAAAAAGCCATCTTATAAGTACAAGACACCACATGAATCAATGAATTATCGTCTTTAAGAGAAATATTGACACTGTGAATACACTTGTAATCCAAGTACTCAGTGTTCTCATCTTAAGAGATGCTAACATCAAGGGGCAACTGGGTGGCTCAGTCAGTTAAGCATCTGACTCCTGGTTTCAGTTCAGGTCATGATCTCATGCTTTGTGAGATCAAGCCCTGTGTCAGGCTCTGTGCTGACAATGTGGAGTCTGCTTGGATTCTCTCTCTGCCTCTCTCTGCACCTCCCCTGCATGCTCTCTTGCTCTCTCTCAAAATAAATAATAAACATTAAAAAAAAGAAAGAAATGCTGACTTCTACTGAAGATCAGGAACTATTCCAAGAATTTACATGTATTATTCTATTTAATCCTTGGTAACAGCTCTATTAGGTAGATGCCATTAAACCCAATCTATGATTAAATCGAGACAAGGCAAAGTTAAATGCCTTGGAACTTTTAAAAGTTAGATTCATCAACTCTCTCAGAAACATCACTCCTGTTCTTTGTTCTATTAAGAATAATGTACCTGCTTGCAGCTGTAGAATCTTTGATTTTCTTTCCTTCCAAGGAAGCTAAATGTTGTTCCAAAGCATCAAGAAGACTGCTGGGGGCCTAAAATTGTGCAAATATTAAGATTTTCATGATAAACAGGCCATTGGTCAAAATAAATTAAGTATTACCTAACATATGAGAAGAAAAAAAAATAGGTATATTCCTCATGAACTATTTAATAGTGGAGTTTTATTTTTATTATGCTCTTCTTATAAGGGATATTAATAAACATAAAAATAAAAACTGAGACTACGTAAACATGAAATATTAAAAAGTTCTTACAAGTACTTTCATTAAATATATTAAGTTATTTGAGTTTTAAATAAAAACATACTCTTGTAAAAGCTAGACATATGGTTGGGCACGTTTCTGGTATTTTAGTAGGTACTTATTGAGTAAATGAAAGTGTGCAAAGATTATTTTTCAATAGTTACTGATAAATGAAAAACAGACCAGCATCAAGAAAACACAAATCAAAATCATGGTGAGAAAATTTCTTACCCACTAGAATGGCTAAAGTTAAAAAGATTAGCAACATAAAATGTTGGTGAAGATATGGAACAACTGGAACTCTCATACAATGCTGGTCAAAATTCATCCACCTTAAAGGATCTGAATGTTTTTATTAAGTTAAATACACATCTAGCTTAACTACTCAATCTCATTCCTAATTATTTATCCAAGGGACATAAAAGCCTATCTCTGTAAGAAAAGACTTGTCAAAGAATGTTTTAAGTAGCTATGCTATTAGAAATCAAAACAGTGATTTCTGGAGGGGACTAGGGAGTAACCAGAAGGGGACCTGAGAATTGCACTGATGGAACTGTTTTAAATATTGAATAGTATGCTGATAACACAAATGTTAATTATCAAACTTCACTGAAATGGATACTTCATTCAATTTTGTTTTAAAAAGAAAGACTGGGGGCGCCTGAGTGGCTTAGTCGGTTAAGCGTTCGACTTTCGCTTAGGTCATGATCTCGCGGTTCGTGGGTTCGGGCCCCGTGTCGGGCTCTGTGCTGACTGCCAGCTCAGAGCCTGGAGCCTGTTTCAGTCTGTGACTCCCTCTCTCTCTGACCCTCCCCTGCTCACACTGTCTCTCTCTCTCCTAGAAATAAATAAAACATTAAAAAAAAAAAAATTTAAAAAATAAATAAATAAATAAAAAGAAAGACTGGCCTTTAAAAACTATGTATCAAATCTCAATATGAAGAGCTAGTTACTTTCAAAAGGAAACCTTTTCAGTGAGTTGAAAAGGAATTGATCATTATCTTTAAGGGAAACAAATGCATCAGTGGCCATTTACTTGCCACAAATATTCTTTAGGATTTGAGATAAAGAATTATTAGATTACAGGGGGATCTAAATCTCTGTACCAATTATGACTTCAACAATTTCCTTCATTCTGTATTTTCCCTCTACATGTAAAACCTTAGTAGAAGAAAGACACAGTAAGGCTGAAAATATTAGATTATAATATTAGCTTCTATGGTGAACTGAGGACACATGTGCACCATTCCCTAATCTCAACAAAATGCCTGCTAAGACTCCCAAAGACACTAGTATTATCTCCATTTTACAAATAAACAACCTGAGACTGTGAAAATTAAATAACTTGCCCAAGATCGTTTATCTGATACATAGCAGGAGCCAACAAAGGGTCTAGGGTATATATGACCTGAATGTCTAGATATTATGTACTATGCTATCAAATCATTAATTAAAACTGGGCATTTGATGGGGTGCCTCGGTGGATCAGTCAGTTAAACGTCCAACTTTGGCTCAGGTCACGATCTCCTGGCTCGCGGTTCAAGCCCTTCGTCAGAACTTGTGCTGACAGCTCAGAGACTGGAGCCTGCTTCAGATTCTCTATCTCCCCCTTGCTCTGCCCCCTCCCCAAAATAAACATCTTTTAAAAATTAAAAAAACAAAGCAATACATATAGCAGACAGTGAAATGATATTATAACCATACACTTACCTGTGAAAGGTCTGGTATATCACCTCTGTCAATTCCAACTTGCTGTAAAAAGAATCAGCATTGTATTTAATAAACAAAATTATAATAAACAAAAATTTAGAAAATGACATTATGGCTAGTATCACGAACAATATTCTAGATCAACTTCTTTAAACTCAGAAGAATAGTTAATCTCCAGAGGTATCATTCACTATTTCCAAGGGCTTAGATGTTATTTAAATGGTTTTAAAAGTTGTAAAAGGAGAAGAACCAGAGTTGGAAATCCAATAAGGCTATCTACATCTTCTGAGCACCTAATATTTAAGCTACCTTGTCACAATCTAAAAAATTCCATCATTTTGATGTGTCATTATGACAAAAACACTACAGCAGGAATGAGAAAGGCTGACCAGAAACGGGTTTCCTGGGACATAAAAAGAAGGAACAAACTTTAGGATAATGACTGTCTTTCTCCACAAAGTATGCTTTTCCTATCAATCACCACAGATAACAATTTTTAAAAACGATGTTCATGCAAGTAGGCCAGGTTTTATGCAAATGCCAAGTGATCTTCCAACCAGATGTTAACTATCTACACAAACCAATTCTATGATACTTTCATGATGTTCAGGCATTAGGCAATTTCCAGCAAAAGGGATAAAAACCATTCCTACTTTTTTAGTGACCAAATTAAAAAACTACTTTCCCTCCCTGTGGTTAAGTTTCATTTTCTAATCCTCCTGTCTTCCTTTTCACAACCCTTCAAGAGCCAGTCCCAGAATGATATCAGAAAATCTGACAAAATAATCCATACTAATATCTTAATAGCTAATCACTGACTGACACACGAGTCCCCTCCAAACACAGTTGAAAAGGTTACTTGTACCTTTACTCAAAGGACTAAGGTCTCATCATGAAATTGCAACCCAAAGACAGCCTCATGAAAGAATATTTTATTTCTCAGATCATATGGAGTTAATGGTCTATTTCATCTCAGACTAGAATAACTAGAGGTAAATAAAGGCTTAAAAATTAAGTCAGTAACTATAACTATCAAATGCAAAGAACATAAGAGGCCAAAAGGAAAAGTCAACAAATTAATAAAACATTTAAAGAATTTACTGAAAACATAGCATAAACACTACCTTTTTCTTGTTTTAGTATATGACCCTAAAGAAATGGAAAAAAACATTGATTTCTTGAGAGATACTTTAAATCCAATATAAACTTCAGTAGATTTCATAGAATAGCTAACATAAAGCTCTTTTCTTCATAAGGTCTCATGATGCTGTTCTATTTCATCTGCTAGAGAATAAAATATCACTATGGTAACAGAGCTAGAATCACCAACTTGCTAGTTTCAGATTAACTACTTTGATAATAATTGATAAATTATAGTCATCTTCCAGAATTATCTTAAGGATAGAGGAAGGGAAAACAAGCAAAAACACTTTGAGAGTTGCCTCTGTGCAAGCAAGATGACGCCTTCTATGACCATTTCAGAAAATTATGTTTAAACAGATTTATAAAATTAGATTGTCCTATATAACCTGCATTCATGGTTTTCATAATCAATGATAAATTGAATAAGTCAATAAGAAAATGAAAAAATACACTAAATTCACTTCTTAAGGGGAACAAAACATCGTGAATCATGTGATTCTAGTTTCAAGTCTCACTGGAGGAAAAAGACTTGTACTCACACTGAAAATTCTCTACCATATAATAGGATAAATATGTTAAAATATTACATGGCTAATGCCAAACACAAAAATCTATTGCACCACTCTTTGCCACCTACCTGATTTTACAAAGAAATAAACAATTTAAAAATAGATTGCCTTTCAATATTCAATACTGAATTAAATATATAAGGTATGTCTTATATTACCATATCATATTCATACCACAATGAAGAACTCAATACAATATATGGATATGACTGAATATGTACTTTATTATATTTAAGATGTATCTTTCATTTGGATGACTTCTTTCTTTAAAATCTATACTTAATGACAAAAAATAGCAAGTTAAGAGACCTACTCAATCTAAGGACAATTTACCTCTGCAACTTTGAGAAACTCTGAGATTCTTGTCATCCTAGTTAGGAACTTCTTATAGATGTCGAGACCTTCTTTGCACTGGTTCTTTTTCATATCAAAATATTTTTCTGCCAAAGGTAAATGTAAAAATACTTTTATTCACATCAAAAGAGAGCATTCAAAAATGAGAAAAATTAAGTAATAGCCTCAAAGAGATTATATAGGTGTCTCAGAGAACACACTCACCGTATAGGAAAAACATCAGCTTTAAATTAGCTGAGATATTTAAATCAAATTAATACAGAGATGCTATTATATTAAAAAGAGAAAAATCCTTGGACTTCACTCATACTACTAGTTTGTTCTATGGTATTTCTTCTTCACAATTCCCTATTTTTGTTAACACATTATACTTTTCCCCATTCCAAATATTCTTACTAATAACATATTAACATATCCTACTTCTAAGTACTTACTGATAATATATTAACATATTAATAAATACAGCAACTTTACCATGTCCAAAGGTCACCTGGAAAGCATATTTAAACTTATTACATATAGAGCAATAAAGAGCTTAATTTATAACTAATCATAGGGTGACTGACTCCCAAAACTATGTAGAAAACCTTCAATTTTATTACTTGTGAAAAAAAGAAGCTCAATTTCCCTATCTTCACAGATTAAAGCAACCCTAAATAAGTTTGTGAATAAGCCTATAAAAAGCAAATTTATTATTATTTTTAAGTGGGGAGGGGAGGGGAGGGAAAACAAACACACTGGAGTGAACACATTTGACATCTGAGACTTGATACTTAGGCACTCTTTGCAGACTATTACTCATGTTACTCATCTACTCCAACCAAATCCCATAGAAAATAATGATCATTTCCAGGCAAAATTAAGTGCATTCTATACTGAATACATACATTCCTAAAGTACCTCAAAAGCAAAAGACATCCTAAAAAATAAATGTTTAATCCATTTAATAATTATCAATTTTAAAATTAGGCTTAGAAAAAATATTAATTTTATAATTAAAATTCTTTATGGAATAAATTGTGAGGAAGTAAGATTCCTCTGGGAGAGAAAAAATTCCAAATTAATTTTAAAGGTATCTTTGTATTTCTAAAAATAATAAAACTGACAAAAAAAACACAAAGATATGGGGCGCCTGGGTGGCTTAGTCAGTTAAGCGTCCGACTTTCGCTTAGGTCATGATCTCGCGGTTCGTGGGTTCGAGCCCCACATCAGGCTCTGTGCTGACTGCCAGCTCAGAGCCTGGAGCCTGTTTCAGTCTGTGACTCCCTCTCTCTCTGACCCTCCCCGGCTCACGCTGTCTCTCTCTCTCCTAGAAATAAATAAAACATTAAAAAAAAAATTTAAAAAAAAACAAAAACACAAAGATATATCTAAAAAACAAAGTTCATCCAGCTGAACAGTCTAGTTGTAAAAATAAATACTTAATTTCTTAGCATGCATGATCAGAAATAAAAATCTTGTCTCCAAATAAACTGTTAGAATCAATGAATAGCCCAAGGAGTGGTTAGGCAGTTCTAAGTAACAACTCAGACAATATTATTTATCCATATGACACAAGATAAAAAAAATAAAATGTTACTAAGCTACAATAATATTTACCCAGCAGGTTAATAATTCCTTCATTGTATGCTGCAAACAGTCTAATAGCATCTTTGAACAGGAGCATGAAGGCAGCATTTATTACCCCGTTTGTAAGTTCATTGCTATTAACCTGGAGAAAGTTTTGAAAAAAAAAAAAAAGATGAGCTAATCTTATGTTTTAAATGACAGTAACATTCTTCAAATTAAAATACAGTAAATTCAAATTTTTAGGTATATTCAAATATTTAGAGAAAAAGACATTTATTACTTACAAAGTTATAGCCAAATAATGGAAAAATGTGTCAGAGTTCAGATTTATGTAAAAGCTACAAAACTTCTGTAACATTCAATTTAATTCAGAAATAAATCTTAAAGAAAAAAAATACCCTCTAACTTTCAATATTCCTAGGCAATCATCACCAAGACATCAAGCAAAGCTAGGCAGAACAAATGTTTTTTTTTTTTTATAAGCCTTTTCCCACTATTATAAACAAAGTTACCTTCAAAATAGTTATATTTCTATTTCATATGGTTAACTGGGAGAATTAAATGATACACTGATTGTAAAGAGTTTAGCACAGTACCTTACACATAAAGAACCAATATTATTAATGAATATGCTGTAAAAAAAAAAAAAAAACCAGCACCAATTTATCTATCAAGAATACTAGAAATACCTTTAGTTTCATCTCAAGAAATGAATAAAAAAGATAAACCAATTAACTTAACATTCTTTTTTTAGAAAACACAAATTACTACATGACAATTAACTTGTTTTTAGGTATAGAAAAACATAAGCACAAAGTTGAATGGTAAACAACAAACTGGTCAATACTTGTAAAATACTTAACAAGGTTGATTTCAACTCTAGAGAATCCTAATAAAGCAAATGACACACAATTCACAAATACTTACAGTTAATAACGTGAAAAGACCTTCACTTATCAAGTAAATTAAAATATAAAAATCAAATTAAATCACTAAACTATCCTTTCTTGAGCACCAGAATAGTAGGTACCAAAATAATCAAAACCAAGCTATTATTCAATGCCAACAAGGACAAAGAAAAACAGGTACCTGTTGACAAGTGACCAGGCTTAAGCCTTCTGTAATGTAAGTTGGCAATACTTATTAAAAACTTTAATTATGTCCTTTGATCCACCAAATTCTTTTTCTAGGCATTAAATGTATAGAATTAGGTTTATAAATATGTAATACACACATTAACATGCACAGTATTTAGTGTGTCCCCCATCTGTTTTTTCCCCAATTCATTTTCTGAATTTAAAAAATCAGAAAAAAAAACTAATCTCTGTCAGTAGGAAGATTGTTACGTACAGTGAAGGAAAACATACACCACAAGGACACATAATTTTTTTTTTTTTTTTTTTTTACAAATAGTTTATTGTCAAATTGGTTAGAGGACACATAATTTTATAAAGTATTTACACTGTAGTAAGAGAAAAGAGTTTCATGGTTGAAACCTCTAATTAAAACCAAAATGAACTTTAGTAGTTACATCAATCCCTTATCTCTAAAAATATTTTATTATTTCAACCATAAAAAATGTAAAAATCATTCTTAACTCATAAGACACCCAAAAACAGGCAGCAGTCTATAGTTTGATCATCTGTCCTAAATGGAAGCATCTACAGAATTCATTCATTGACTGTTTCCTGAACACACACACTCTATGTGCCACATACCTCTGGACGGTGGGGACACAGCGGAGAAAAAGCAGACCTGGTCCCTGCCCTCAAGAAGTTTAAAGACTACCAATTAATAGCACAAATTTTTATAAAAGTCTATTTCAGCATGAAATTGTCATTGTCATTCACTAACTCGCACTTATAAGCTCTAAAATAAAATGTCTAAAGATAGATGCCTCCAAAAAGAACAGACTTGAAAATGCTAATACTTAACATATTACAAACAAACGACAAAGCTGGCAACCTCGTTTTAAATAATGAACATTAAACAAAAATTCCAGGGAACACAATGTTTTTTGACAACTATATATATATATATAAAAGCAAATTGTTGTAAATTGATTTGAACTTCATTGTATTTGTTAAGAACTGTCATACTCTTGAGTCCTACAATATAGACAAAAGTGAAATATTAAGTTGGTTATTCATAAAGAAAATCTTCATACATTTTTGAAATCTAAAAACCTTTATGAAAATATATTTTCAGGTGAATTATTTCACCTCTCCCTCACTTTCTTTAGCTTGTATACTCTATAATTCTAGAACTAGAAAAACACTACCAAAGAAATCAGAGTAAATCTTTAAAAATCATATAAATACCAAGTAATCTGATTTGGGACCACATTTATAGAAAATCTTTAGCCAAATAGGGTATTAGTGTGAAAAAACTAGAGTCCATCAAAACTTGAGAATAAACTCTAGGACCAATTATAATAATATGTATTTTTTAAACTTAAAAATTTTTAAAGCATTTGTGCAATCAACTTACATTAAAATCAAGAAGGGCATCCATCTGATTTTGAATAATTGGTACAGTTTTAAGGAGTTTTTCTGTGTTCATTGTTCTCATCACACCATCAGCCCTGTTTCAGAAAAAAAGGAAAAGCACTGAATTTGTTATTAAATCTACATTTTAAGCTCTCATCTGATTCTCTATTTAATAAAGAAAGAACAAGTTGCTACGAAACATCATATGTTTTTAAGTCATTACTGAACCCGAAACTTCAAGCAAAAGTCATACAGAAGAAACAAAAACAGGAAATACTGTATGTCCAACATCAAGGGGCTAAAGAAAAGGTAAAAATATGAGAAATAAAAGCTTACATTACAGAGTCAGGTTTATTGAGTATTTTTCACATCTGTGAGGAAATCATCTGATCCTCACACCACTCATATGTAAAGGGCAGTTCTACAGTTTTTAAAAGAGAGAAGAGAAGAGAAGAGAAGAGAAGAGAAGAGAAGAGAAGAGAAGAGAAGAGAAGAGAAGGGAAGAGAAGAGAGAAAGAAAGAAAAATCATTTGCCTCAAATCACTAAACGGGACATGAAGCCAGCAACTAAACTCAAGTCTTGGTAAGCACTACTTTATTTAAGGTATTTTATTCATGACTCAAACAGCAATGACTTGTAAGCTAGAATATTATAACTAAAACTGTTTTATTACAAAATAAAGTTAAATTTTACCAAATCATTTTAATCCAGCCATTAAAATATGTGATACTTAAGAGGAATGGTTTTTAATAAAATATTCTGTTAAAATTCCCAAAAAAGATTTCTTTAAATATTTATTGCTTTAGGGGCACCTGGGTGGCTCAGTTCGTTAAGCATCTAACTTCAGCTCAGGTCATGATCTCATGCCTCATGAGTTCTACCCCACCGATAGGCTCTGCGTTGATAGCCCAGAGCCTGGAGCCTGCTTTAGATTCTGTGTCTCTCTCTTTCTCTGCCTCTTTCCTGTCAGCACTCTCTCTCTCTCTCTCAAAAATAAGACATTGTTTAAAATTTAAAAAATAATAGTAAATAAAGATTTACAGCTTTGGGTATTTCTAAAAATAGATACAAAAAATATTAGCAGTACCAATCTACTAGAATTTTACAACAGTGGTACCAAAAACACTAGATAAGAGGTACCTGTGGCTAAAGTACAGTGAAAATCAGGTTCCATGGCTTGATGTATGTTTTTCAAATGCTTGCAAAACTCCTATAGACAGACTTTTTCCATTTTGCAGATGACAAAGTTCTAGGATCAGTGAGATCATATGATGGTCTAAGGTCAGAGAACTACTAGGTGGTAGGGTCATTATGTAAACCCTAATGTAGGCTCTAAAACAGTGCTTTTAATAACACTTTGTGAGAATAAAACTCACTTTTGAAAAATGTATAGGTTTCCCCAATTTACAAATGACTTACACTTACCTATAAACAGCCACTCTACTCTGAGCTACTACCCTTTCAATCACAACCCCAGATACCAGAAAAACATTTAGGCTATGAAAATCAACAACAGACAAAGACAAAATTGAGTTTAAAGAACAAACAATGGACGGCCTTAGGTAGGCAACTGTTACCAGCCTTAGTCCAACAACTCTCCCCAGTAAGTGTTAACCCATAGATGCCTGTTTCCCCTCAAGTACTGTATTCCACTGGTTGCTACCAGCTGCTGTAGTTTGGGATGAGGACATCACGTGATCTTAACAACAATTTTTTTACCTTTCATACACCTCACTCTGATTTGATCAGTTTCCTTTTAGTTCTCCCTCCTCTCCTTGCTGAAGTCATTTTTGACCTGCTGGTCATTTCCTCTTTATCACAGAAGACCTGAGTACTGGCTCAATTTTTCTTGGTTATTTTACCATCTACATGAACAACCAATTCAAAATTTTAATCTCATAGTCCCTTGACTAGAGACCCTATTCTTATGGTCATATCATGTCCTGTCCCCAGAAACCACATTATCCCTACCCCATCACCAGAATGAAAAAAAGATACAATTTAGACACCTTAACCTATGACAATAACCCTTTAACCTCCAGCTGCTTTGGCATAAACTATTTGACTTCATCATAAACTTGAATGTCTCAACTTCTACCACTACCCTTCTAATTGGCCCTTCTTAGTTTTACTTCCTTCATCTAGCTTAGAATTCCACAGATTATCACTGTGATAATTACCTTGCAAATACTCTTAACTCTCTTGTACCTCTCTTCTTCCCTTGCAGTCACTTGGCAAATTCATAATCCTGGCTAAGCAGATGAGTGCTGGTAAAGAAAACCACACAATATAGCAAACCGGTAAAACTCTAAATTTCATTATCCTCAATCTAAAACTGGGGGCTCAGGACTGCCAATAATCCTCTTAGCCTCCTCAGTAAATTCCTCTAAGTACTTTCAAACCTGATTCCCCCACCCCTTCTTACCTGCCTCCCCATACCCAATACACAAACTATCAGCTCATAACTCCCAAATATTTCATTCAAAAATAGAAGATCATGGGGCGCCTGGGTGGCTTAGTCGGTTAAGCGTCCGACTTTCACTTAGGTCACAATCTCGCGGTTTGTGGGTTCAAGCCCCGCATCGGGCTCTGTGCTGACTGCCAGCTCAGAGCCTGGAGACTGTTTCGGAGTCTGTGTCTCCCTCTCTCTCTGACCCTCCCCTGCTCCCGCTGTCTCTCTCTCTCTCTCCTAGAAATAAATAAAAATATAAAAAAAAAATAGAAGATCACACAAAGAGATTTTTCTAGTCAACTCACCAACAAAAACTACATCTATCTGGTCTGGTCCCATTCAATGGAGGAAATCTATCTCTTTCTATGAAATATAAATACCATTCACAGAGGTCCTCTGGATCCCACTGTGTCACAGTTCTTTGGCTGTCTTTTTTCTCAGCATTGTCCAACTATCTGCAATGGTCTAAATGTTCAATTATCTGCACCATTTACATGGTAGCCACTGGCCACATGCAGCTCTTGAGTATCCAAAATATGGCTGATGCAACTGAAGAAATAAATTTTTTATTTTATTTCACTTTAATCAATTTAAATTTAACTAGCCACATGTGGCAAATAGCTACAGTGCTGCTGATTAATCTCTTCTTTTATACTAGACCATTCCCATGAACATGCCAGCAAAGTCTCTGTTATCACCATTCTTCAAACACACACACTCCACTAAATCCATATTCCCATTCAGCTACCATTTGTCTCACAAAGCCAAGTATACCTCTCAAAAAGAGTTCCATGCTCCCTTTTCATTCATTATTCAATTCATCGCAATATAGTCTCCTCTCCTAACACTCAAGTTAAACTACTCTAGTTTAGGTCATGTAGAAATTCTATGTTGCTTCTCCAATGGGTACTTGTCTAACATTATATAACTAGACTGCTCATAGTATTTTCTTCACTATCACGCTTTCACTTTCTTTTCTTGGCTACTCATCCCCTATCCATCCTCTAAAATAAATGTTGTGTATCTCAAGTGTTCCTGGGCTCTCTCTTCTCATTCTATATTTACCCCCAGGGGATATGTCATTCCCAAGAGAGAACCACAAAGGTGCCAATGATGTATTATACTCCTAAACCAGAACTTTTAAGTTCTAAGTTACTATGTCCAATTGTCTACTTCGTATCTCACTTTGTATAAATCACAGGCATGACAAAACTGGTATTTCCAAAACTAAATCTCTAATTTTTTACCATTATGCCCAACCCTATTCCATTCCAAAATCTTCCCAATAAAAGCTGCGCATCTCCCCAGTGACTTGCACCAGAAGCCATGGGGACAATTTTGATTCCCCCTCTGTCACTAACTTCCACATCGTTTCTTTCCAAAGAACTTTAAATTTCTCAATTAAGAAAAATCTTAGCAGTTACCAAGTGCTTTTATCACACTTCAAAACACTCAAATAATTCACAAATCCAAATGCTTCAATATGATTCACACCAAATACACAATTCATATTCCATGAAGAACACAAGTTTTATAACTTCTTAAACACATTATAATACAATGCAGATACTTCCTTCTCAAATATAAAAGCAATGGATTAAAGGCTAGTTATCCATGTCCTTATTTACAGAATATACCTGGATTATTCTGTTTTGCTTGTTACATAACAGTATCTTGATACTTTGAACCAAATCAATTTAGATTTCAAGATAATTCAACTTAATACTATGAAAAAATGGAATATTAAACAGAAAATATGCGGATTGATGTTTAACAACCAACTGAAAAGATTAATCTAAAGGCAACTTACTGGATTCATTTTTCATAGAACCATTTAAGTTATCTTTTCAAAACCTGTTAATCATGACTATGTTTAGACACTGTGGAAAGTCCTGAAGATACAAATAGGAGTAAGGCCATGGTGACCTCATGGAAGTGACAGTGTTATATAAAATCTAACAGAAGAAATAAGGTTTCCTTTGTGGCGTCTGAGTGGCTCAGTCGGTTAAGCATTCTACTTCGCCTCATGTCATGATCTTATGGTTCATGGGTTGTAGCCCTGTGTCAGGCTCTGTGCTGACAGCTTGTCGCCTGGGGCCTGATTCAGATTCTGTCTCCCTCTCTCTGCCCCTCCCCCACTCATTCTTGCTCTCTCTCTCTCAAAAATAAACATTAAAAAAATTAAAAACAAAAAAGAAAGGTTTCCTCAAAGAAATGATGCTTGAGTGAATTTTTGAAGAATTACTAAGTATTTGCCAAATAACAAAAAAGGGGCTTTATAAAGGAAGGCATCAGGTATAAGCAAAAAGTTATTTAATCATTCCTGGGCAATAATTCATTTTAACATTTTAATATCCTATATTCCTATTAAAAATTATAGTTGATCTACACCTCAGTTTTTTATACCAAGATATATTCTAAATGAATCAAAGACTTAAGAAATAAAATACTGAATCCATAAATATATACAATGAAAACATGAATAGGTAACTGATCATTTTGGGGGTAAAAAGGCTTATTCTGAGTGTCCTTAAAAAGAGAAAAGTCATAAAAATAAAGACTGTAATTTTTATTGCATAAGATCTTAAAACTTTCATTGTTTAAAAAGGAGGGAAAATATTTGTATTTATCATGACAATTTATTTTCCCAATACATAAAAAGCTTACTTGTTAGAGTGTTTGCCATGTGCTAAGCATTACATGCAATATTTCCCTTAATTCTTACTACAATTTTAGTAGACAAGTCACTGTTTTCCATTTTACAGATGAAATAATTCAGAGACAAGGCTCCTAACTGTGCCAGAGCATACTACTATGGTACAAATGGCATGTCTATGCGTACCATGACATTAATTCCTAACCCTTCAACCTCAAGAAGTCTTAATTTAACTTACTGTCCTGTACAAACAGTATCAGTTTATGTGCGATATGTAAAAAATTAGCAAATTGATGGATATATTAAAAATATATGCTTGTTCTTAGGAATGTGCACTGAACTATTAATGGATATAAACTATAAAAAGGCATGAGGTATGTAATCCACTCTCAAATGGTTCAGAAAAAAGTATATACACACACTGAGATTAAGCAAATGTGAAAAAATGTTAAAATCTGCTGAATCTGAGTAAAGGATGTAGGAGTTACCTACATTATTCTTGCAGTATTTCTGGAAGTGAAATTATTTCAAAATAAAGTTATTTTTAAAAAGTCAGCAAGTATGGCTAAAGTATGTTACTAAAATTCTTCTTTTAACTGGAGTGAAGGTAGAATTCACACCTAGACTTCTTTAAATAGCCCATGAGCTCTTAACATTCAACACAGTAAGAAAGAATAAAATACCTAATGGGAAGGGGGCAAAAGATACTGAAAGGCAACAAAGTGTGAATGGCATTTTAGGACAGAAAGAAGCTCAGTGTCACTATTTATTGAATTATTCAATCAATCAATGTAAAATGAATATCTAATGAGATACTTTTACGGGAGGAAAGAAGAACACAGTGAACGAGATATTTATAACTATATTTAAGTCAATAATTTGGCACAACTTTTAGAAAAGGCAATTTGGTATTTAATATTAAAATGTTAAATTTATCACCCTTGTGCTATCACCCTCACTGTGTATCACCCTTGACCTATCAGTTCTAAAACTTTATTCTATATGAAACTTCACTTAAGAAAACAAATACATAGGGGCGCCTGGGGGGCTCAGTCAGTTAAGAGTCCGACTTGGTCTCAGTCATGGTCTCATGGTTTGTGGGTTCGAGCCCTATGTCGGGCTCTGCACTGACAGCTCGCTCAGAGCCTGGAGTTTGCTTCAGATTCTCTATCTCCCTCTCTCTCTGACCCTCCCCTGTTCACACTGTGCTGACAGCTAGCCCAGAGCCTGGAGCCTGCTTGAGATTCTGTGTCTCCCTTTCTCTTAGACCCTCCCCTGCTCACGCTGTCTCTCTCTCTCAGAAATAAATAAAACATTAAAAAATTAAAAAAAAAAAAATACATAGGAGCACCTAGGTGGCTCAGTTGGTTAAGTGTCCAACTTCAGCTCAGGTCATGATCTCAAGGCTCATGGGTTTGAGGCCCACATGGGGCTCTGTGCTGACAGCCCAGAGCCTGGAGCCTACTTCATATTCTGTGTCTCCCTCTCTCTCTGCCCCTGCCCTGCTCATGCCGTTTCTCTCTCTCTCAAATAAACATTAAAACAAAACAAAAAAGAATACAGATACATAATTGGGAAGTATGGGTGGCTCAGTTAAGCATCCGACTTGATTTGGCTTGGGTCATGATCCCAAAGTTCATGCATTTAACCCCTGTGCTGGGCTCCATGCTGACAGTGTGGAGCCTGCTTGGGATTCTCTCTCTCCCTCTGCCCCTCTACCATATGTATGCACTCTTTCTCTCAAAATAAAGTTTTAAAAAATACAAATATATAAAAGGAGGGTCAAAAGGATACACTGCTTTTATAAGATAAAAAATGAGAGGGGCACCTGGGTGGCTCAGTCAGTTAAGCATCCAACTTCGGCTCAGGTCATGATCTCAGGGTTTGTGGGTTTGAGCCCTGTGTCGGGCTCTGTGCTGACAGTGAGCTCAGAGCCTGGAGCCTGCTTCGGATTCTGTATCTCTCTCTCTCTCTGAACCTCCCCTGCTCACACTGTCTCTATCTGTCTCTCTCAAAAATAAAACATTTTTAAAAAATTTTTAAAGAAAAAAGATAAAAAATGAGAGTAAATCAAATGTTCATCTAGAACAGAATGCTACAGCCATTCAAAAGATGAGATCTTTGAGGACAGACTGATAATATCTAAAATACACAAGAGGGAAGGAAAGCAGTCTTCAAATAATATAATCCAATTGTTGTGTGATTTTCTATGGGTCTTCATACATATATTTATTTCTATTTACACACAGAAAGCAAGTTACATATACTAAAACCGTAACATTTTCTTATAAGTTTCCTACAAGTTATAATATAGGTTGCTATCCTGCCTCAGTTTTTAAAATGTATTAGTTTTATAAACATAAAAAATTACTACCTTATAAATGTAACTGTACTATTTATTACAAAAGTCCTCTCCAAGACTGAAACAGTTCACTGAGGTTCTAGTCATGATATAATAAATTTTTTTGATATATTAAATCTTAAGTGCTGCTACATTCTCCACGTACAGCCTATGTCCTATATTTTTTCTTATTATTAATACATTATATATAAATGTACATGTGTAGGTATCTGTGTATGTCAATTTTGTGCTTCTTGGTTCACTGCATTATGACTCCTTGATTCACTTTCCCTATCCTCTAAAAGTAATTTCCTAAGTCAATATTAAATATATCATGCATAATTAAAGGCTGTTCTCACTTTTCTTAAATACAGAAATGTAGGGACACCTGGGTGGCTCAGTTGGTTAAGTGTCCCACTCATGATATGGCTCAGGTCGTGATCTCAAAGTTCATGGGTTAAGTCCCATGTTGGGCTCCATGCTGACAGCACAGAGCCTGCTTGAGATTTTCTCTCTCCCTCTCTCTCTGCCTTTCCCCCACTCTTTTTCTCTCTCAAAGTAAACTTAAAAAAAAGAAAAGAAATGCAGCAACTCTCCTCAATCACAAAACTAGTCCTTCAAAAAAATATTATTATTTTAAAAATGTATTAATCTGAAATCTACAGATATCTTGAAGACTGGCTTTACTGAACACACTTTCCACTGAAGTATTAGTATAAGCCCAATTAGGTTCATTGGACAGGATAATGAAATTAAGAACCAGACTTCTAAGATGAACTCTTCTATTATCATCTCACAAATGACAAAGTATTTAAATATATGAAACAAAATCTGTGGAATTTCATTTTGATTAAGTTGCAAACTAATCACCTCCTGATTAATTTGGAATAGTGACACAGAACATTGAGGTTCAGTTTTTAAAATGCTTAAGTTAACTAAGGGGTTACTTTTACATTTGTATTAAATTTTCCATTGCAGTCTGGTAATTTAACATTTCATACTTATTCATTCATTCATTCATTCATTCATTCATTATTTGAGAGAGAGAGAGAGACTGCGCATGTGCAAGTGAGGGAGAGGTGGTTGACATGGAGCCTGATTTGGGGTTCAATACAATGACCCTGGGATCATGACCTCAGCTGAATCAAGAGTTACACACTCAACCAACTAAGCCACCCAGGTGTCCCTCAAAAGAACAATTTATTTTATTATTTTTTTAAATATATATATTTTTTTAATTTCTAGGAGAAAGAGAGAGAGACAGCATGAGCAGGGGAGGGTCAGAGAGAGAGGGAGATACAGACTCTGAAATAGGCTCCAGGCTCTGAGCTGGCAGTCAGCACAGAGCCCCACGTGGGGCTCGAACCCACGAACCGCGAGATCATGACCTAAGCGAAAGTCGGACGCTTAACCGACTAAGCCACCCAGGCGCCCCTCAAAAGAACAATTTAAAGAAAACATTAATTCTTTAGATATTTGAGAAGCAGGGAAATTCAGAAAGGCATTCACAAAAATATTTCTGCAGAAGCCAGATTTCCCTTAAGGCAGTCTTTCAGAGTTACAAGGGTTACCAATGCCCCTTAAGAATGTCTTTAGTGGCTTTATCCAAGGTCTTCTCATATATCCTAAGAAAAATCTGTATACCAGGCTGTATCAGGTAGCAATCCACATTAAAAAAAGGATGGTACAACTTGAACACATTTTGCTAGGTGAGAAAAGCCAGAATCAAAAGGCCATATAATGTATGATTTCATTTATCTAAAATATCCAGAATAGGCAAATCCATAGAGACAGAAAGTAGATTTATAGTTGCCAGGCTCTGGAAAAAGAGGAAAATGGGAAGTGATTGGTAATGGGTATAAGGTTTTTTCTTACAGGAATGATAAAATGTTCTGGGATAGTGATGTAGCACACAACTTTGTAAATATAGGAGAACCCACTTAATTATACACTTCAAAACGATGAATTTTATGTTGTGTGAATTATATCTCAATAAAACTGTTATAAAATTAGAAAGAGCTTTTAAAAATCCTAACACAAAGCATATGATATACTTGAAAGAAAAATAAAATTCTTATTTTAAACTGGCCTGAAATTCCGTAATTCATAATCTAGTAATTTCTATGGTTTACATTTTAAAGTATTCAAATCCAATAGATATCAAAAAAGGGGGGGGGGGAAGCTTAACTCACCCTCTTTTCACTTTTGTGAAATCAAACGCAACTTGTCTGTATGAAACTGCTTTTTCATTAAGATACCTACTATACCGCCTAATAAATGTAGACATGTCATATCCTGTAAGAAAACAAATAGAAAATGTTTCCATAAATTATTAAAATCCCAGTTTGCTTAGAAAACCAACTCATTTCATCCAAAGGCTATTAATATCTCGCTATCCCAATTCAGTCTACTAATGTAAATTAAGTGACTAATAATGAATACCTTCACATTAAAACCTCTAAGACTTCACACGTTTTAAGTCAGGTATGTCATAGGTAGCTTTGTAAATCCTCCCTCTAAATTTCACTAAAATAATATTTTTATTATACTTCTGATCAACATTCCTACAGGAATTTGGAAAACCATATTCTCTTAAATACAATCTGTTAATCTACTAACTCGAACTGAACATACCATAAGCCCCTCTCTTCAAATCAGTAAGCAATAATTTTCATACTTAAGAAATCTTCAGTTATATATTATTTGGAACAACCAAACTTATATGTGCCAACCTTATAAAAAGTACAAAAAATTACTGTATAGTATGATGAAAGAAATGGCAATATGCAAGTTTAAGGCATAATAAGAAAGAATGATATGGATGTTTTCAGTAAAACTTTCTCTAAGATTTTCTTTCATCATAATCACAAGATTTGAAAACTTCAGCAACGTAAGATATAACCAATTCATTAAAACAACAATTTTATATTTTAGTTACTGCCTGGATCAAGGATGTCTATAAATTTTTCCTCCTGATTAAAAAAGCAGGTCCATTTTATTTTAGCTCATCTTCACCAACAAATTTCATTTTATTTCATGATCTCTACTACTTCAAAAATACCAAAAGAATAACAAAAATGTAAAATAACTGAATTTAACATCACTACCAATTCATTTATTCAGCAAATATTTCTTGAGTCCTACTAAGTGCCACTGGAGAAAAACCAATGAACAAAATAGAAAAAAACATTATTGTCCTCAAGTATGCTCATAAGTACTACTGTACTTTATAAGGTGTTACATACTCATATTCCTTAGCTCTTTAGTTTATATTGTTCCCTCTAATCAACTTTACTCCATCCTCCTGCTAGGAGAAATACCTACCATCTCTCAATCTCTGACACTTCCCTGAACTCTGTGTTTCCATGTTATTCTTCATGTACAGTTACTAGCGATCTGATGTACACTAGTACTAGTCTAACTCACTAGACTGGAAGCTTATTTATGTTTATATATATACACAGTACATATGTATTATAAAATATAATAAAATATACCAGACTCCACCCAGCAAATTATATGGCAGCCAAAATTAAATGTCAAAACCACTGAATTACATACTTCTAATTGTTGTTTCAGTTTTATCTTTATAATCTCTTCAGAATAGGAGCTTCAAGCAAAAGGCCTAAAAAATGCTACATAAAAGGAATAAAAATCCTAAAATCTCAGTACTAGAAGTGCTTAATTTCCATCTTAAGTGGAAAATTAGTAGCTAATAAGACACCAAAAAACTCCATTTGTATATATGCATATACTTTGCTTTAGAGTAGTGGTTTGCAAATTATTTTCCACAGACTCTTAAAGTTCAAATAAACAGAAATAAAAAGATAAGTAGTGTTCCATTCATATCCCTGAAAAGAGATCAGCTCTAGTTTTATCTGTTACACATTTCTGGTTTCTAATTAAGGTTTTAATTGAAAAAGTGATTCTAGTGTTTAACTACTTGCATCACTATATCTATTATCAAAATAAAATCAATCTTATAACACTTAGTTCTATATATAGATTACTGGCCTTCCCAAATCTCTGGAAGATAGGGTATCTGATGCATTCTAATTAATATTTCCAATTCCCAAAAGTGAACAAGTACTGAACTGGACAGCCCCTAACCCAAACACTGCTAGTCACTAAATGCCACTGATGTTATCTCCACAAAAGCCACAATTCAGGTCATTAACTTTCTACTAAATGATGAAAACATTCTACTAGATGACCAAGAAAAAAGATGAGAAAAGTCTTAATGTCTTCAAGACTTTATCACTATAATTCAACTTGTATTTAGGTATAACACTTTCCTTATAAAACATAGTCCTTCTCCCCTTTCTCTTTACTCAAAAACCTGATGGTTTCTCACTGCATTATAAAATCCCTACTCTATCAAAATTTTTTGTGTCTGATTTTGCCCCCAAACAGCTTCTACAGGGCTATCTGTCGCTACATGTTCTCCAATATATCATCCATACATTCTATTTATATTCACTTGCTCTATAATTAATCTTAAATATCCCATGCTCTTTCATGTGTACCTTTGCTTAAACCAACCAATGTCCTTATCTAGCTTTCAAAGCCCAGCATAAAATCTTCCCTTCTCTAAAAACGTTTCCCAGATTGAGCCCTATTATTTATTGAATATTCCCAATCAGTTGGTATGTTCTTTGTGATGTTATTCCTAGAGCTGCCATTGTACAATGTTAAAGGCCTAGTTCGGGAAGTAAGGACAATAGATTCCAGTAAGACAGAATGTGCATGGAGTACAACAACATAGCAATCTCAAGTTACTGAATTAAAAGTAAAATAAACAAATAACAGGTGTGAGCATCAATGAGCAATTCATCTGAACAATATACAATACTTACCGTTGCTACTAAAATGTATGATATCCCCAACTACATTTCTTGCAATATGGCATAAAATAATAACAGTAACAATGAAAGCTCATACTTACTAGTGTTTCCTGTATGCCAGGCACTGTTGTAAGCACTTTACAATTATTAACTAGGTTAAGTCTCATGACAACCCTACAGGGTAGGTGTTATCATTATTCCTGACTTTATAGATGAAGAGAGGTAAAGTAACTTGCTCAAGTTCATGCAGTTGGTAAGTGGTAGAGATGGGACTGAAATCGGGCAGTCCATTCTCTGAAAGCTCAATCTTATTCTATTTCTTAGAGTTCTAAGTGTCAAGTGCTAAAATCAATCTTAATTTCCACATTAAAACAGTTTTTCTTCTCTACATCTTTCACTAATATATGAAATTCCTCCACAGCACATGTTCTAAAAGACAGCGTTCAATTCTACGGTAATCGTCATACAAGGCTGATTTTCTATAATGCATAAGGTGTATTTACCTTGCAATCCACTTTTATCCAAAAAATTGCTTAAGTTAAACAATGTGTTTCTCGAAGCCAAATACTGAATAAAACGCTGGAAAACAAACAAACAAATATTACATCAAATTAAGATAATGCCATCTAACAAAGTCTAATCTGAGAATGCGGGGGGGGGCGGGGGGGGGTTGTGTTTATAACACGTTCCATTAAGCTTCTCTAGCTTAAATTTCTCATCCTCAGTCTTCCTATTAACTAGTTACCAAACCTAAAAACATAATCCATGTTTTTCACTAGCACACAGGAATTTATTAAAGCCTAATACTCATGGCTTCAGTATTAACATCTAAAAGGAAGTAGACACTTTTAACCTGGAACCAGAAATTTTGGCTTTACTGCAGCATATTAGGGCTAGAGCTAATCACATTCAAGTGGCATCTTTTCTTTAATACATCTACCTGGTGACCCAATTTTTATGACCTTTTTTAAACAAAATACCTGTAATCATACAAGAGAACAGTATTACATAGACATCTCCCCTCACCCACTGTCCAGATTAAACACACTGCCATGTTTACTTTAGATTTTCTTAGAGAAACAAAACATTAAAGACTCTCTAAGACATATAATCTTCATTCTTCATGAGATCTTCAATCTCATTTCCTTTCCTCTTCAAAGGCAATACTTTTCTGAAGTAGGTATGTATCATTCTCACACATATTTTTACAATTTTTCTATATATACAACCTATAAATTGTACATAATTTTTCTATTTTAAATTTACAGAAAAATCATACTGTACTTATTCTTTTCCAATATGCTTTTTAATAACTTTTTCCCAAGAAAAAGTTTAATTAATATACATAGATCCAGTTCATTCATTTTAAGTGATGTTCTAGTATTTCAATGACCTACTATATCATTATGTACCCATTTCTCCATGGATATTTAAGTTCTTTCCAACTTCACTATTATTAACCACATTTCACAGACATCTTTGTACTTAGTCTCCATGTGCAAACATTACAAGAGTTTCTCATGATATAAACTTTTGGGTCAGCATGTATGCAAAAGTTCATCTTCTCAAAATACTGTCAAAATTTTCTCCAAAGTGCTTACCACAGAACACTATTTTAACTTTCCTTTATATACAACCTCTAAAACAGAGAGCTAATTCCTTTCAATTTCACTTCCCCTTAAGATTTCCTTTTTTTTTTTAAATTCATGCAGAGGGTTACTATCAATTAGGGTATATATCAACACTTCTTTACTGCCAAGCCAGGATTTTGAAAAACAATGTATAAATCAAAGACTGATGTTTCATCACTTATCCTAAAACAACTTGTTTCAAAAAGGTATTAAAATATCCTAAGACCATATTAGACCCCATGATTTTCATAAGCTGTGCTAATTCTTTATTGTGGGAAGCCTGTCCTGTGCATTGTAATGTTTAAAAGCATTCCTGGCCTCTCTACCTACAGGTGCCAATAGCAACCCCATCACGTGCAACAAATGTCCCCTAGCAGGGGCAGGAAAGGAGATCACTCTCTTCCCTACCCTATGGTATTCTCATCCCCACAACATAGTAAAATCCTATGCATATTCTCTCACAGACTACTAAACCTGCCAATGAGAAGAGTACTGAATTTTTCTTAGCTGCTTAAGGAAAATAAACATGAGTTTATCTAAAAACCACAATGAAATGCTATCTTTCTCCTATCAGTCACCTGTAAGGAATGGCAGTCAACTTTCTGTTTCCTTACCTTTATCAAGGTTTTGTGTCTACTATTATCACCTTATTTACAGTCCCTGAAAGTCACGACTAATAGTTATCCTTTTTAGCTAGCATTCTAATTGGTTATATTTGTGGCTTTTTCTTTTTAAAGAATGAACTACATTTTTTTTAAAAAGTGAAAAATACTAAATAAGCCTGAAATTCTTCACAAAAAATGATCATGACCTTAAGTAAACACAGTCCCCAAAAAAGTAGAAACTGTTATCCTAGTTAAGATAAAAAATGCTTCAAGTTACATTAAAGTTAGTATATCTAAACATTTCTATTGACTCTATACACTGCTTACAATAAATTAGAAAGCAACATATGAATAACATATGTCCTAAAAATGGTCATGTCTGTTGACTGAGCAATCATATTTCAAGTAACTTCTAGGAATAACTCTTAAACACTACAAAATAAAGTCATCCAGTGTGATGCTGCTGTAACAGTGATTAGAAAGCTAAATTTCTAGGACGAGGAAAGTTAAGAAAATTATGGAATATATGATCCATTAAGCTGTCACTAAAGATGATAAATACAAAAAATATAGAATATGGCAATGCTTATGGTGTGACAAGATATAAAAAAGCTAAATATAATATTTTACCTAAATTATGATTATAGTTATTAAAAACTCACTTGTGGACAAGGACCAGAAGAGAACAACAAAACATACATACAGTAAGATCTGTTGCAACCATGAAGTTGTAGGTAAATTCTGGCTTTAATTCTAAATTAATTTAATGATGCTCTATTGGTATCTGCCCAAGATAACAGAGCTTTAGCACCAAAAAGCCCCAAATGAATAAAGTGATGGATGTCAGAAAGTCATTCTGCTCAAAAGTCTAATACCAACACTCCATCTCTCAACAATCAGTGGGCTGTATTTTCTAAGATGTAGACTTCTAAGCGTGTAGATTTACCTAGTTGCATTCAAATATTCTTGTAACACAATTTTAAATGTGGCTTTTAACTCAATTTTGCAAGTAAGTATACTGGGCTGAGAAAACTGGGCTGAGGTAAGAACTCAAAAATCAGCTACTAGCCTATCACGGAAAACATGATTCTCTCCAAACTTTAAAATGCAGAAGTTTATGCATCTTTTTGTTACCCTTTCAGGTAATGAAGACTTTAGTTAGGCTTGAAACACTTCTCTGCTTAAGAAGGCACTCTTTAATCAGTCCCTCTTAGCAAATGCTATTTTAGTCCTCAGTATAACAGCTTCGAACTAGACAAAGTGGTTCCAAAGACAACTATATAAAATCAGGCAGAAATCTGATTGGCCATAATAAAGCAAATGGATATAGACAAACATACAGTCTATACACAAGCCCTGCAAAAACCAGTGCTGCTTATGGAATCTACCTCTAGGCATTAATCCCTGCTTCTTGATCCCATTATTGAAAGTCCTCTGGGCTTTGACCCACCATCCTACCTCAAATTGCAGAATCTACAATTTTATTTCTGCCTTGTCACCTTGTCCTTTTTACCTGTATTATTTGGTTACTGAAGCCATTCCTGAAGTTTCCATGAGTGAAGCAAGCTGAATAATCAGTCATCACACCAGTATGCTTGTTAACCAAAAATTTGGCTTACCTCATTTCCATACACCATCAAATGATGAGTTGTAATGAGAGATTTGAAGACCACCACCCAACTACTATTAGTAGTTCTTTCAAATAAACTGTCTGCCAACTGTGGGATGTTCACATTCATCTCGTTTGTACACTGAATTAAGTCTGCAATAAAAAAAAAAAAGATTTACTCTCTGGCTTTAATTTATTATTAATGCCGGATGTGCATGATAACAGGTAAAAAATCTAACAGTTGAGCAACAATAGACAGTTTGGAGAGGTTATTAAAAAATCTCTTAGGAGAATAATTGAGACCACTGAGAAGTAATACTCATTAGGAAGGATAATATTGATTAGAAAGATACTGATTAGGATTACATAAAGGATCAATACCATTAAGTAAATCAAACTTCCTCAGAGTAATTCACCCTCAACTATTTATCTCGAAAGAAACTATTTCAAGGCCCTGTAGAACTTTCAGTTCTCTTATTACTCATAAACCCTCAGAGCTACAATGTCAGTATTATTAATCCCTACCATTCAAAAAAAAAAAAATTAGACATATGGAAGCACAAACAAACTGAAGGTCAAAAGACTCTTATTAACATTCTCCTAGAATGATGTTTGTACTATAAGGAAGATAGGAACAGATATGTGGTCTGTGAGTGGGTGGGATCTTGGTTTGTTTATATAGAATTTTCATTGTTCTCACCCTTCTGTTTTACTGAGTTAAGCTCAGTTAAACTAGCTGGTTTCAACTAGCTAATACTAACAAAACTGGAAATGAACTGAAGTTTCTTGTTGCATAAATTTGCAAGAAGAAACAACCCAGGAACTCTATTTGCTATTACTCTGAAAACAGTTAAAGCAATCTAATTTCCAATTTTATATTTCAAGTGTGAGAGCATAACTATAGAATGGTTTAATACACAATTGTTTCAGCACCAAAACTGGGGAAAAAGAAAAAGGTGGCTCTTAACAGACCTCAGAGTTTCACCTTCAATCTGCTTAAAGCTTATTATTGGCAGATTCAACGAAGAAAATATAAAATATGATCCAATTTATAGAAAGGAAGACCAAAAATGAGTCATCTCACTTTTAATGTACATATAAGAAAGAAATGTATAAATATCTCAGTATAACTATGATAAAGGGAAAGAAATTAAAGTTATTCATTAAGTTTGTCCACTTTTAGTCTTCAGCACATAATGATTAAATAAAAATTCAAGTGACCTAACTTGACCTTGATCACTAGCAAGAAACACCAATGTAACTATGACCATTTAACTGCTCACAATCTTTCAAAAATGTTTGTTCTAATAGGTCCAATTAGTATACAAAGTAACATTTAATAAACAAATGAATTTTAGATAAGCAGTCACCCTAGCCAACAATGCTTAAAGAACAAAACACAAAACAGTCTAACAGAGTGCTGGCAGAACAGAAGAATGACACAGGCTTTCACGATTCATACTTGCAACAAAAATTAAATAGTGCTTTCACAATTTGGTGTGTATGGTTCATTTTCTCATAGTAAAGAACAGAATTCGATCTCTGCCTTCTCTGAATCTTCTTGAACAGTGCTTCATACCTGTCCTACAGCACTAAAGGTATCATGTACACCTTATTCCCAAAGCTAAGCTTTCTCTGCCTCTTAAAATATAATGAGGGCAAGGCATAGCTGTCTTGCTCCTTTTGAATTCTTTAGAACTTGAAGCACATTGATCAAGTTCTGAACCCAATTATAAGAAGTTATCTTCTTAATTTTTTTCCTCCATTTATCTGGATATATCTATATTTTTCTATATCCTTCCAGAAACTATCTTGATAAGCTATTCAATTCTTAAATATAATGGTTACTTCCCTCTGATGGTATCAAGTCATTTTATACACCTCAAAATCTTTTTTTAGTTTTTTAAAACTGAATCTGTCATAAAATTTGTCACAATACTACCCCAAAGGTGCTCCTGTGTGTTTATATATACTCCTTACAGCCTATCAATAACCAAGTCTCCTAAATCTCCAGCAATTCTACTTGTTCCACTCCATTTCACAATCATTGCTGAAGCCAGAATTCAAGTCCTACTTATTTCCACCACCTCTCCTGAAAGTATTCAGAAAGTGGGGAAGGGTGATTAACACACTGAAAGTTTTTACTGGCATTTAATATCGATCAATGAGGGAGACTACTGTCTTGCAATGCACAATAAGCACTTCATAATTTAAAACTACTCTACCCGTTGGGGCACCTGGCTGGCTCAGTAGATAGAGCATGTGACTCTTGATCTCAGTGTCATGAGTTCAGGACCCACGCTGGGCCCAGAGCCTACTTGAAAACATTTTTTAATGTTTCTATTTATTTTTGAAAGAAGGAGACACGGAGCAAGTAGGGGAGGGGCAGAGAGAGAGAGGGAGACACAGAATCTAAAGAAGGCTCCAGGTTCTGAGCTGTCAGCACAGAGTCCGACATGGGGCTTGAACTCATGAACTGTGAGATCATGACCTGAGCCAAAGTTGGACACTCAACTGACTGAGCTACCCAGGCACCTCCACCCCAAAATATTTTTAAATAAATAAAACTGTTCCACCCAAAATTGTCCCCACTGAGAAACGTTGGACTGACTTCTTCACTTCTGATTTGGGGTCTCCCTCACCTCACTCCCCTAAACATTCTCTAAACTGACCAAAGAATGATCTACAACACAACACTGTCACTGCCTAACCTCAGTGACATCCCTACTACTTACAGGATTGCACACATTCTGGCCTTGTCAATATCCTCCCTTCTTGACTTCTGGCTTCCAAAACAGAATCACTTTCCAGTTTTCTGTGATGTACCTTGCTGTTTCACACCTAAATCTTTACATTCTTGCTCATTCTTCGAAATGAATCAAGTCTTCCCTTTCATATACTAAGGTAGTCTCCAGTCACTAAAGCCAACACATAATTCTACACTACAGAATTATTCTACACTATAATTATTTACTTCTGAATCATTCTATTCTAACTAGTTTGAGAGACCTTAAAAGGAGACTGCAAATATTTTTGTTAGCAATTTCCATACTCTTCATTATAGAGGTAAGTAAACTACTATATTAGTTAGGAAGAGCCTGATCTGGGGCACCTGGGTGACTTAGTTGGTTGACTATCTGACTTTGGCTCCCGTCATGATCTCGCAGTTTGTGAGTTTGAGCCCCATATTGGGCACCACATTGACACTGCAAAGCCTGTTTGGGATTCTCTCTGCCCCACCCCTCTCTCTTGAAATAAACTTTTTTTTTTTTTTAAAAGAGTCTGACCTTAAATGAAGTAAAATGGGTAGATTTTAGTTTCAACAACTACAGGATTTTCAATATATTAGAATCTATATATTCTACCAATGCTCTGTAATCTCTTTGTGATCAGCTCTCTCCTCTGCATCACTTTGCTTCAGTTACACTATGTTTCCTTCGCAATTCCTCCCAAAGCCAAGTTCTCTTTCTTACCTCAGGTGCTCAGGACTTGCTGTTTTTTCTACTTAGAATACTCTTTTCTCAGATATCTATACTTCGTGCTCCCATATTTTATTCCTATAGATCTTTGCTCAAATGTCACCTTACCAGATGAACTCTTCTCAATAATTATACAAAATTACAAAGCCTCAGGGCACTCTTCTACCTCCAAACCATCACTCTCCAACTTTACTCTTATCTCCAGAGAACTTACCACCTAACTTATCTTACTGTGTTTAATATTTTTCTCTTCCAATTAAAATATTGGAAGTATAAAAGTTCCATAGGCGAGGGCTGTTTTGTTCTCTGCTGTATCTCCAAAGGCCCAGAATAGTACCTCATGTATAGTGGTCACTCATACTTTTTGATTCATTTTAATAAGCATATTATTATAAGCATATAAAGTCCTAGCAAGACTTTTTAAATGGGCATCCAAAATAGTTTTACAGACTAAAACCAACAATCTCAGACTACTGGCACAATCTATTTCCAAAAGAAAAAAAAACAAACCTGAGCCCATTACATGTGGAAATTTTCAAATTTCAAATTTAATAAGAATATCTAACAAACAAAGGTTTTTACTTGCTTATGAAAACTATAATATACTTTAGAAATGACCACATAAAAACTGAAGGATAACTCCAGAAACTAAAATTTCACATGAAACCGGAAAAAGTACTTCACATGAAACAGGAGAAAGAAAAAAGCATTCATGCTAAGATTAGAAATCCAGAGTAGACCAAATGCAAAACCAAAGTTATATAAATACTGCTAGGAGAAATACTGAATCATTACACCAACTCTACAGACTATACTTCCCTCATAGTATTTTACCTCAAGCAGTTTTCCAGGCAGTAATTTTTCCTCAGCACAATGTTTCAACTACAACAATAACTTGAAAATGCTTCCCAAGTCTGAGCTCTAACAACTCAGGAAGAAAATGTTTTCCCGCTTCTGACTAACCGAAAGCAAATAATTCCAAACAAGAATCATGCATTATCATTGGAATCTTAATAACTACTGCTTTTCCCATTCTCAACTTGAAAGACTTCAGTTCTTAAAAACCACAAATTTGGTATTAAACCTCCCTTACCAATTGAAAGGGTTCCAAAATAAAAAACACATCTTATGTTTTCTTTTAGTTATTTCCCTTCAGAATATAAAAACTAAACACCTTCTTGAATTTTACATTAATAATAATTCCTTTTTTTTTTTTTTTACAAATAGTTTATTGTCAAATTAGTTTCTACATAACACTCAGTGCTCATCCCCAAAGTGCCCTCCTCCATGCCCATCCCCCCCTCCCCCCCACATCCATCAGTCCTCAGTTTTTGTCAGCATTCAAGAGTCTCTCATGGTTTGCCTCTCTCCCTTTCCCCCACCATTTCTGCCCTTCTTCTCCCCCTTGTTCCTCCGTCAAGTTCCTCCTAATCCTCCTATACGGGCAAACATATGATATTTGTCCTTCTCTGCCTGACTTATTTCGCACGGGAAGAAATAGAAAACCTGAACAGACCCATAACGAGTGAAGAAATCGAATCAGTGATCAAAAATCTCCCAACAAATAAGAGCCCTGGACCTGATGGTTTCCCTGGGGAATTCTACCAGACATTTAAAACAGAATTAATCCCAATTCTTCTCAAGCTATTCCAAAAAATAGAAGTCGAAGGAAAA